TGCAAGGCCCTGCCTGCCCTGTTTCCTGTGGCTCCCATGGTGTGAATATAGCTCAGCACGTTCAGGCAGGACACCAACAGGAGGAACAAGTCAGAGATGTGGGCTGGCTCATCAGTGGGGATCTGTCCTTTGTAGACTTTCCTGCTATGGCCTGACAAGAAGGCCGGCTGCCACCCTAGAGGCTCTTCCTAATTCGACCTATTTCCTACTTCTATTTCTGGAAGGCAGGAGGAGCCCCCACTTGAGCAAACCTCTTAGCTCCTATATTAAGAAGTTGTATTTCAAATGCAGATTTGAAAAAGCCAAAGGAGAAAAAAACAAGACATTGGAAGTAGCCATGAAACAACCTGGAATTTGAAGACCTTCTGGAATGTTCCTTCTCCTCCTTTGGTCCATGCTGAGTCCGGTGGTGGGCAGGGCTCTGAGAGGTGTGTGACCGTGGCAGGGCTTTCAGGACCAAAGCGATGGCCACTCACAGAGAGCTGGGGGTGCGAGCCCCTGCTTGGGTGATGTCTGATCAAGCTCCACCCACCCTCCGCAATCCAGAAGTCTCCCCAAGTATTCTCCACCTGAATTATCTGGAAGTTTCCTGACTTCTCTACTTTCCAGGATAGCTCTCCTTGGCTGGCAGGACTGGTTTTTCCACTCTGGCTGGTGTTAGACATACTCAGAAGAATGAACATCTAATGACATATTTGTCAAAGTAGTGCGCGCCCTGCAGCCCATGCCCAGTATCTCATTGACAGCTGCTCTGTCAGCTGGCAAACTCTACGCCCATCAAAACTTTCCAGCCGTTCCTCCTGCACCGCAGGCGAGCTGACTGCTGCCGGTGCTAATGAGGTGAAGATTGTCACACACCTTCCTGGGACACAATTGTGTTGCACAAACACACAGCGGGCCACACGGCAGGGCAGACACACACAGACCCCAGCCCCATACCAGCTGGGTAAAGCCCCCTACATCCAGGGACTTTGAAAGGATTAACCATTCTAAACAAACATGAGCTGAGGTCACGCAAGTCACAACAGGTAGGGGGTGTGAAAAGGCAAGCCTAGTACACAAATGAAAAATTTAAAATACCATTACCCCAACATCCAAAAGTAGACACTGTTTTTTAAAGTGTGGGTCTTTTTCTAAAGTGTACTCGGAAGTATACTAAGAACATTATTGTTTTCAAACACGTTATCTAACAAAGATTTTTAAAGCATGAGAAAACTGAACCTACATAATTTTGAGTATCATTAATTTTCCTTCTGGCAGCCAACTTTTCTTAGCCGGAGCTGGAAATTAGGCCTGAACAGTCTGCCCTGAGTGAGGCTGGTGGATTTGGGGGGTAGGAGAGGGGAAACAGGACTCTCTATCATCCCAGGAAGTCTGGGAGAAGGTGGGATGGGACAAATCCAGCTTAGGCTCTGGGGACAGGCTCAGAGGGTGATTCCTGCAGGGGGATCAGCTGCAGTCATAGTAAGTCAAGTATTCCACATTTATTCCAGAAAGACATCAAAGCAAAGAGGCCAGTGGAAGCAGATCTAACTTTGGATGTAAGCACAGGAGGTTCACCGCTTAGATTCTAATCACAAATCATCAGTACTTAAATAAACAATAATTTTAAAATAGCTTGCAATATTATTGTTCTGGACGCAAAAGAAGGCAAAACAGAACGAAAAGCAATGTGTAGATATCGTAGGAAACATAAACAGCAGAGATGAGCAAAGCACAGTGACTGCAATCCCAGCACACACACGTGACCACACACCACCCTTTGAGCATTACCTGCTCCTTGGCTGTGGCCTTAGTGTACATATTTATTAATATATCCTGTGAAAATGAAGTCCAACATGCAATGCATTAAAATTGGGCTTTACAGAGGGGGCACTGTAGGCTTTACTCCCTGGAATTAATAAATTCTGTTAGTGAGCTCCAGGGCTGGGGCTCACAGGCTCAGTTCTGCTGGTACCACCTGTGGGACCTTAAAACTCTGAGTATGGGTATAAATTAGTAGCTTCTCACAAGATTCCTTATGAGGATTTGGTTATTATTGTAATCCATTAATATGTAATAGAATTTTCTTAATGCTAAACAGGGGACAGAACTTTCTGGGGCATGTCAGGCTATTTTCCTCTCCTCTTCAACTCTTGGTTTTCTGTGTTAGGTCGCTGTACAAACACCTCCCTCATTCACAGGGGGTCCCAGGGTGTCACTTCCCTGTCCTGTCTCTACTTCAAGCTCTTTGAACAGTACACAGTGAAGGCTGCTGCGGTCCAATCAGGGTCCTTGGCCCTTGTGTGTGTCTCTTGGGTTACACAGAACAGGAATGGCAGGGATTCCTGAGATCCCACTGGGGAAAGAGGCCTGGGGCAGAAAAGACTTTTCTGTGCCTGCTGTTTTCCATCAGAGCAGTCAGGAGAGGACATGTGCCAAGCTCAGATGCAGGCCTTTAGGGAGAATCACGGGGGGCTGGGGAGTGCCACACTTTGGTCTCTCAGAGCACCTTAACATTTTCTAGTTATCTGTCCTGCCACAAGCTTGGAGGTGGGGATGGGTTTGTCCAAAGCCCATTGTGCCCTGGTCCCTGGGACCTGTAAGAATCAGTGGGGGATCCCTGGGGACTTAGAAACGCAGGCTGTCTGTGCCTCAGGCCTCCTGAATGAGATTCTGCATTTCACCAGGATCCCCCGGGGACATGTGCACATGATAATTTGAGAAGTGCTGCTCTACGGGACTCAAACCATTTAGATGGGCTGATTCTCCACTTTAGCTACACATTAGAATCACTAGGGAACTTTTAAAAATCACCCATGCTGGCCGGGCGCCATGGTTCACTCTTGTAATCCCACCCCTTTGGGAGGCCGAGGTGGGTGGATTACTTGAGGTCAGGAATTCTAGACCAGCCTGGCCAACATGGTGAAACTTTGTCTCTACTAAAAGTACAAAAATTAGCTGGGCGTGGTGTTGCACGCCTGTAGTACCAGCTACTCAGGAGGCTGCAGCAGGAGAATCGCTTGAACCTGGGAGGTGGAAGTTGCAGTGAGCCGAGGTCATGCCACTGCACTTCAGCCTGAGTGACAGAGCAAGACACTATCTTTAAAAAAAAAAAAGAAAAAGAAAAAATTACCCATGCTTGCTCACTCATTGCCCCCCTGCCCCAAGATGCTGCTCTGGTGGGTCCAGGTGGTGCCATAGCCCTGCCGGTTTGAGTCACTACCCAGTGACTCTGTGGGCCATGGTTGAGAAGCACTCCTTTAGATCACCAACTGTTGACCAGGAGGGGGAGGGAGCAGCGCCTCCTGTGGGGCTTTTTCAGATGACACAGTCACCCACCCAACAGGCCCCAAACAGACCCAAGGTCCCTGTCCCCACCCTCATCCCTCAGGGCTGCCAAGAGGAGCAGCAGGAGGATAAGGGAGCCTCATGTGCACTGGAAATGTGGAGGTGCTACCCCCAAATCGGGGACAGTGTTCTATCACCCATGTCACCTTGATCTCACACTAACAGAGCAAGGCCTTTCTACCACACAACTGAAAAAAGACATATGTCTAAAACAAAGAAAAAGAAAATTTACAAAGATACAAGTTGAGCACTCTGGAAAGATTTATTGCTGGACAATGTCAAGAAGCAAATTCGTCTCCCATTTCATAACGTGATGGATGTGAAAAGACACCTTCCAGAAACATCACCCTGGTCAGCTGCTGGACATTTCAGATGGAGTAAAAACACTCAAACAACTGAACAAAGTGTCTGCCAAGCCAGGTACAGTGGCCGATCGTTACTTAACACGGTTAAGGGTACAAATGTGGGCCTCTCAGACTCAACATGTTGACCCTTTCACCTGCCATAGTATGGCCTAGCATTTAAGAATGAGTGTTACAGCATTAAGACAGGGTTCAGACGGCAATTCTGTGATTTCTGAGTTGTTGACCTTGAAGTTTCCAGGCTTCTCTTACCCTCATGTTCCTCAGCTATGAAACGGAAATAAAAGTACCATGTTCCAGGTTGTCATGAGGATTTTATGGCATTATTTTGTAAAGTTCTGAACTTTGTAGTGCCTGGTACATACTAAGGGATTAACAAATATTTATTAACAATGATATCCTATTGGTCTTAAAAGTGGTACAACTGTAGTGGAAAATCTGGCAGTATGTGCCGAGAGCTTAAAGATGTTCAAGACCAATAATTCAACTTCTGTAAACCTACATTACAGAAATAACCTTGAAACCAAGTATTAAGAAATGGGAAGGAAATGCTTTGGGTGGGAGTGAATAACTAGAAGCAACCCAAATGTCCCACAGGAGAATAAGGATTAGGACAATAACTGCACATAGCACTCCCGCAGAAGATGATGTTTCCTTTGGTTCTGAGTGCTGCCCAATATATGAATCATTTTTTGATCAAATTATTAAATTGTAAAAAAAATAAAATAAAATAAATGAAATGATGCTTCACTTGATCATAGGAGCTGGGTGGTGCCCTCGGTAAATGTCACTGATAGAAGGTTAAGAGAAAAAAGCAAGATACAACATTACATGCACCTTATAAGTGCAATAAAGTCAAAACAAAGTCCCTTAAACACAGAGAAGCAGACTAGGAAAGAACATGTCAAGATGCTCATTGTGCTTATGTTTCAGATAGCGGGATTCTGGATGATTCTTTTTCCTTCTTCCTTTTTTTAAATCAGTTTTTCAAGTTTTCCTTAATAAATATGTATCCTTTTTATAATGAAAAAACAAAACTAAATCCTTATTCTTAAAAGTTCTTTAACCCAACATGAAGTGATGTCCCAATTGTTAAGATCTGTGAGTCTGCAATCAATTTTGTACACGGTTCCTCAATTTTTAGAATTTAGGAATCCCAAGATACATTTTATGATGAAAGAGCCAAATCATAATGGACGTCTGATTTCCATTGGTTGAGAACCCCTTGTTCTTACATAGCCTAGACACTGTGCAGGATGAGCATGGCAGGTCACACACAGGGAGGCATAAGCATGGCCCTGTCCTTACCGTTAAGCGTCTCCATGGCGCGTTCTGGACACACAGCTGACTCCTCCGGCCCCACACACCAGTACATGCTGGGTGGTCTTTGCGACATGCCAGCCATCAACCCTTGCAGCAGCCAATCTTCAAAGGCAGGTCCCGCTGTTGTCACTGCCACTGTCACTGGCCGTGGGGTGCATTAAGGCATGAACTCATAGCCATGGATGAGCAGAAAGCTTTCTTGTTCTGGTGGGTGAAAAACAATAAAATCAGAAAGCCTTTATAATTCCTGTCCTCCTCCCCTGCAAATATCTGCATAGGTTCATTGAGCTTTCCCTCTGCAATATTCCTTTTTGTAGTCCATCTATCCAGCCAAACCCATCAGGTGTGGTCAGTGGGAAGGCAGAGCTCCCCCATCCCATCTTGATGCTGGGCTCAGGTCTTGTCTACTTGAAAAGAGTCTCAGTGAAACCCCAGACAATTGCAAAACACATACTAGTAACTGACTCAATCATTGTTCAGTCAACACACACCCCCTGTCACTTGCAAGGCAGCCAGGCTCTGTGTGAGGCTCAGTGGTGCCAAGATGGTTAAAGGAGGCTCTTGCCCTCAGAAGCACACTCCAATGGGGGTAGGGCAGATATAGTTAAGGTTGGTCACAATACAAGGCTCTCTTTTTGCCCAGGGCCAGTTCTTCTGGAAGCCAGAGGTGAGTATGTCATCCCAAAGGGGCAGTCAGGCAACAGTCCCAAAGACAGGGAGTTATTACTGGTTATGAAGTCAAGTTAGTGTGAGCTTTAGCAGGAAGCTAAATGACAGAGGTTAGCAGAAATGAGCCTCAAAAATTCTGCCCCTTTCCCAGGGCATATTTGGCAATGTCTGGAGACATTTTTGGTTGTCACAGCTTGGTTGGGGGAGGGTGCTACAGGCATCTAATGGGTAGAGGTCAAGGATGCTGCTAAACATCCTACAATGCACAGGACTGTCATTTGCAACAAAGAATTATCTGGCCCTAAAAGTTCCAAAGCGGGGTTAGACTAATCTCTGACTAATCTCTGACTATGATAAACTGCTGAGACCAGGTGCTGCTCTTCTATGCTGGGCCCCCACTGAGCTTGGAGTACCCCCCATGGGCATGGGTGCCCATCCTGGTACCGTGATTGAAGGACCAGAGGGAGGGTAAGACCCACGTCCAGCTCAGGCCTGACACGAGGTACTACCATAAGAAATGCATGTGTGCTTATCAATATTCTTGTAGCGTATCCTATATGTAATGAAGTATGAGGTAATTAGCACCCCTTGTCTGTGTTCTCTCAGATAGGCAACTCTGAAACGGGGAGTGATAGTGCAGCCAAAAATATATTTTTAAATCAAGGTTATGTAAAAATAATGCCTAAGAGAATCTGTAAAGGCAAAAGCACAGTGTGGATGTCAAAGGTGTGAATTGCCTCTGTCACATGTTAGCAGTGAACCCCCCAGCTGAAATTTATGTGTGTCTCAGTTTTTCACCTGCTAAAAATAGACATCTACCCTTATGCCCTGGCTTGCTGGTGGGGTTACTGTGTGAATTCAACTAAAGTAAAGTTTCTGCTGCCTCTCTGTACGACAGGGCTGGGGTGGTATACCTGCAGCATCAGTGTGCAGAGTTGGAGACCAGTGGGTCTCTCACCTCCCCCTAATGAATAAGATCAGAATATCAATGCTGGAGGGCAGATGCCAGCCTCACCAGTGGGTAGGTTCTAGAAGGTGCTGTGAGCAGTAGGAGCACAAAGTAAGATACAGGACAAGGTTGTGGGAATTTCTCACCTAAAGCCTAGAAATCAGGCACCTGGCCCAGGTGGACTGGACTCTTCAAGGCAGGGGAAGGCAGAGCTAGAAAAGTCAGGCTCCAGCAGCCTTGTGTATGCTGCACATGTTTCTGAGCCAAAGAGGGATGGTCGAGAGAAACCATGTGTGGGAAACACCCGTGTTTGAAGTTGGGAAGCCTGAAAAGTCGAAGGAGGAAAGGAAAAACAATCAATCTGGGCAAAATTTAGGGGATGATTAAAGCCTTATAAATAGCAAAACCTGATTTGGAAAATCAATTTGTGACAGAGAGAGGAAGAGCCAGCAAGACAGAATCTGTTTTAAAATAAAGGTTCCAAATCACACATTCACATCCAGAAACTGAGAAGCACAGTTGCCATCTGCTTTCAGACACCTCTCCAAAACAGTACCACACATAACCAACAGCATTTCAAAAATCCAAATGTTAGACATTCTTCCTGAAAACAGAAGTGTCTTACCATACAATGTTTTTAAGTTTAAAAAAAAAATCTTAAAATTATTTCAGGCTAACCCTCACCCAGCACATTTTGTTCCCCTTTTTATTTTCAGTTTCCTTTTGAAAATCACTTTACCAGTGGAAGATTTTGCCCCTGGAGCAGTTTTAAAATGCTAATTAGTATTTTGGCTTATATTCTAAGGTAGAAGATTTAAGATGAGGTAATTCAAATTTTGCTCAATCTTTGCCTTCAAATGGATCTTTACTTCCTCCTGCTTCTTTTGGGTTCAGATCAGTGCCAACAAATGATGGTTACAAGTTACATGTTTTCATTATACACCCTAAAGAGGGCATCAAGAGGTTTTCTGCAGTAATGATGGTTTAAATGATTTTTCAAAACCTCATCAATTTCCTTTTGCCAACTATTTATACCTGCATAAATGAATAAACCTAAATATTTAATGGAAAAGAAAATAGCCGGGTGTGGTGGCTCACATTTGTAATCCCAGTACGTTGGGAGGCTGAGGCAGGTGGATCACTTGAGGTCAGGAGTTCGAGATCAGCCTGGCCAACATAGTGAAAACCCATCTCTACTGAAAATACAAAAATTAGCTGGGTGTGGTGGTGGGCACCTGTAATCCCAGTTATATGGGAGGCTGAGGCATGAGAATCATTTGAACTCAGGGAGGTGAAAGTTGCAGTGAGCCAATATTGTGCCACTGCACTCCAGCCTGGGTGATAGAGCAAGACTCTAGAGAAAAGAAAAGAGAGGAACCTGTCATTCATTCTACAAATGTCTTACTGAGTTCTTTCTATGAAGATGGAACTTCATGAGTTTGTGAAGCTGGTGGGGGAGCAGACAGCTAAGTAATTGCTATAAAGTTTCTGACAGCAGAGAAACCCAGGTATTTTAGGAGGCTTGGGAAGGACTGTCGATATTGAAGAGTTAGAAGACCCTTGTAAGCAAAGCATGCTAGACATGCTCATTCATATCACCCAGCTCCTTTTTGAATGAAAATCCTGGTCAAAATGGTTAGCCCATGAGTCTAGAAATCTCTTGAGTGCTATTTGCATCCCTTACTAACATTCGCTTGCCTACAAAATGTGTTTAATGGATTTGTGGACATCAAAATACCTTGGAGCTGCAGGCCAGAGAAATATGTTGTTCTCAATCCCAGATGAGCACAAAAAGGCTGGAGGAGAGAAATGCTCCATGAGTCTGAAACCACAGGTTAGTTAGGGTTGTCCATTCCCTGTCCAGTCACTCTACCACCATGCAGGGGGTGACTCCCTGTACAGTTATGGGAATGAGGGCGCGGCAGTAAGCAAGACAGACCAGTCTCTGACCTCAGGAGCTCCAGTGGAGACCACAAGGTAATTAAGAAGAAATTAAACAGATAAAGAAGGAGTACAGAGTGGGGACTGCGGGGAGGCTGCAGAGTGAGGGATGTGAGTGAGAGTGTGGGTTTTAAGAGGGTGACCAGGGAAGGCTTTCTGAGGCTATATGAAGAGTCAGGAGGCAGCAGTGCAGGGGCCCAGTGCTGGACAGTGAGCTCAGTCAGGGTGGCTGGGGGCAATGGCCTGGTGGTCTGAGATAGCAGAGGCTGGATCAGCTGGGGGTGTAAGGAGAAGGAGGTCTCCTGGATTGCACGCCAATGGCAAGGAGAAGCTACTGAAGGATTCCATACAGAGGACCGATATAGTCCGATTTACCCATTTAAACACACACACACACACACACACACACACACACGCTGCTATATAGAGAATGGAGGGAGGGGGAACTGTAATCCTACAGTAAAGAGATGCTGGTACCCGGGACAAGGGGTGGGGGACATAAGAAAAAAGGGGACAGACCGGGACACATTTTAGACGTAGATCCACAGACTGAATATTTTTTATCTGAGCATCTGAGTTGATTGTGAGGTCACTCCCTGAGACATTGACATTTGGGAGAAGGAAAGGTTTGGCTGACAGCAAAACCTCCTTTAGGAACAAATTAGGTGTGAGGTTAGTTTGTTATACTATTTTCTCTTTCAGGACATAGGCACAGATGAAGAAAATCAAATTATAAAAGACATTTAACGTTAACATTTTCCAAAATTGTGCATGTTCTAGCTGTCCCTTTAATGTCTGGGCATTCTGATGCCCTGCGAGTGAGTGGCAAACTCTAAAATTAGTGTACATGGTGAGAGGTTTGCTAAAAGCTATATGCCCCTGTTTCTCTACCTGTTGCAGGGGATGTGTTTGTGGGAGAAAAATTTCATGGCCTCAAACTGTGAAGGGGTAGGTTGAAATGGCCACAGGGGTCTTTATATTCTCCACCATCAGCTCCCGGCTGACCCCGGCCTTACTAGGCTTCCTCGCCTGCGTCCCTGCCTGCCGGGAAGGTCCTGCGTAGGTTGCAGAGACCATGGCAGACATAGCAGTTGAATCTGTACCAGCCAGAGACACCTGGGCAAGAAGCATAACCCAGACATTGAGGAGGGTGAAGCCTCGCTGGGCCACCCCGCAACACCAGGAAGCCCTGGAGCAGTGAGAGACTCCTGGGCTGTCTCTTGCCAACACCCTGGCACAGGCACAACCGCGCGCTCACTCTCCGCCCGCTCCCCGTTAAAGGACGGGGTTTTCTCCAAAGGGAGAGGAAATATATGGACGCCCTGGTGTATTTCCCTGCTTGTGTTTCTTGCCTCTGCTTCCCAGTGTTCCCGACCCTGTCCCATACGGGGTTTCGGGGTTCCCCGCTCAGGCCCGCACATCCCCCTACCACAGGTTGGCTAGGCTACGCGCGTGGCGGGAGGCAGCGGGGACGTGAGACTGGGGGTCACCCCACACGCCCTGCGCGCCCCTCGGGCTGCGGCCCCTGCGCAACGGCCACCCATGTCCGACCATGCGGCCGCCTGGAGCGCAGGCCCGCGGCAGGCAGAGGCCAGGGCTCCCCGCGGACGCGGGCGCGGGCTCCGGATTCCCGGGCCGGCCGCAGGAGGCAACCAGGTCCCTGGGGGGCGCGGAGAGAAACAGCACTTACCTGCGGCGGCGGCGGGGCCCGGGTACGGACGCTCCGGGACGCGGGGCTGGGCGGACACTGGCGGGCCGGGGCCTGGCCGTCCCACAGCCGTCTGCCCCCCGCGCCTCGGGCCGCGCGCCGGGGCCGGGCCCAGACGCACTTCCTCAATCCTGAGGCCGGCGGGCGGGCGGGGAGGGCGAGTGGCGCGAAGAGCTCGCAGAGCAAGGCCGCCGCCAGCTCTCGCCGGAATGGTTTCGAGGCGTCCCCTCGGTGGCCGCCTCAGTTTCCCTAGCCGTAAAACGCGGGCGATCGCGCTCAATCCCCGTGCCCCGGGAGACGCCGGGGTCCGCGGGCCCTTCTAGTACCAGGTCTCTCCCTCAGGTTCGGGCACTCGGCTCCCTCCACGCGGGGCAAGCGCGGCGATGAGATTGGTCGGTGCTGCGCTCAGCCCCGCTTTCACTATCCCTCTGCTCTAGTGGCAGCAAAATCAGCAGATCAGCCCCTAACTTGCATGTGGCCCATACACTCCGTCCGTAAAAATTAAAAAGACAGGGAATATTCATTTGTGTACAGTTCTTTCCAGGGCAATACAGAAATATGTAGTTCTAAAGCGTTAACGATTTGCAGTTTGCACATCCTCCATCACATGGATTTTACTATTTCAATAATGGATGTATGCAAAGAATTTGCTGTTTGGTGAATCATGTTTAATTGTCGGCTTTGGGGGGAATACATAAAACATGGAAAATTGGTAATTTATCGTGTTTCAACCTTTCATAAAGGTGTCATCAGGCTGCTGAGGCTAATATAGAAACGCAGACCATAAAGATCCGCGTCCACTCTGCAGCAGGGCCTCACACTGAGCTCCACGTGTCGACCCAGGGAAAAGGCCTGCTCAGGAAAAGCAGAGGGTTCCACGCCCTGCAGGACCAGCACCCTCGGCTCCTCTCCTGAAGTGTTATGACTCGCATATTCCCAGGATTTCGCGCAGATCTCCCCCACCCTCACTGACATTTCATAGAACCCGGGCAGCTACAGGGCTCTTACAGGACCTCCCGGACACCGCGGGACCGTGTTTCCTTGAGCGGCTTCTTGGGTCCCTGGTTGGCGAGGGGACCACCGAGCAGGTCTGCTCTGCTCCTGGGAGGCTGCTCCTGCCACTGGACGAGTTTCCAAAAGGGTGAGCGCAGTTCTGCAATCCTGTTCGGACCCCTGAGGGCCTCACACCAGTTTACAGAAGCCAGCAGTGTGATTGCTACAGATAAGTTCCCAACAGTTTGCAGGGCGTGGTGTCCTCAGTGCTGAGAGAGCCCCGCGACGGAGGCGCAGCTCCTCCAGGGCGCGCAGCCCCGCCACCTGGCGCCACCGCGAGGGAGCGCAGGCCCAGGGCCCGGGCAGCCGCTGGAGGGGACGCGGCCGAGTAAGGCGGGGCACCTCCACTTCCCTTCTAAATGAGCTTGGAAATAGGCTAGGAAATGTCCCCAATGTAGAAAACAGCAGGAACATTTGACACGCGGATGATCTGTGTTGAGCCCGTTATATTCCCAGCATTTAATTCTAGCCATTAGGCGTGTGTTAGCCACAACTTCTCATAGGAAGGCTATTGCAGGTAAGTTAAGATTCCTTTCCACTTCTTCCTGAGGCTCGCTGACCCACGGTTCTCTAGCTTTTGTTGTAATCCCACCCGGATTCTCAGCACCCTAGGTTGGAATGACCCCTCCTGAGGTGGGTGAGGTCAGCTGGAAGCCACCTCCCTGAATTGACTTTTCTCTCTTTTTGAAGGCACAGTGGCTGAGAGCTCCTTCTGTGTTTTCTGGTTGTTTTTCTTCAGCCCAGTTCGCAGTTTCCTCGGACAGTCTTCCTTGAACAACTTCCTAAACGCCCTTCATGAACCCCCTTCAAGCTCATGCCTAGGAGCAAGGAGCAAATCTTCATCCACCAGCAGAAGCAGCTAGGCCATCCCAAAGGGTCCACTTCTAGAGAGTGTGCCAACCCCCACACGCACACCAGGCACACAAATGCATGTGTGCACACGCACACTACACCCTCCAATTGTCCCCAGAATGGCTCCCTTCAGGGAGTCACATTCTGGGACACCAAATGAGGGAAAATATCCTTCTCCTATAGTTTTCTGCTCGCATTTGGATTGAGAAATGGGATGTCTCTAAATAATGTGTCTAAATTCTCTTAACATAAGTGTGTATGTTACGAGAGATCTGATCCCAGCCTCCCTTAAGTTTTTTGTTAAAGAGGTGGTGCTTTGCCACTCACATCAAAGTGATCTGGGCTTTCTACATCAAATGCACAGGTTGAGCTTCAAGAACATACCCCAGTACCAGCAATGATCTTGATCCAGTGTCAGTGTCAGCTCACAACGTGGTGATTGAGGCTTCTTGGTTAGAAGCTTTAGAAACTTGAGGTCAGTGAAACCCAAACTGATCCTTTCTCTAGATCCTCAAAGGAAAAGGTGACAAAAACAGACACTTGTGCTCACAGTCAGGGGCACAATGCTGTCCGTCAATCCTCATGCGGTCCTCCCCACCATTTCCCGCACTGACATCATTACCGCTTTATGATAAACGGAGACTCAGGCAGCTTAGAAGACAGCTGAAACTCAGCCAGATATGATGTGGAACCTCTGAGGCCCAGCTCCTTGCTTGGTCAACCCGAGCCCACAGAAATGGGTTTCAAAGTCAGGCAAAGTACTAGGCCCAATTGACAGAGTAAATGTAATTTTATGCTTACATTATTGATCATGCTTTAATATCAGCCATTTTGTACAGGTCTCAGAAAGAGAAAGGCCTGCCATAGAATTCAAATGAGTTTGGTCTTTAAATGAAAAAGCATAATGTTTCCCAAATATCCAACTTTATTTTATCATTTTTGCATTGTGGAACACGATCTGCAGTTAGGATCAGACTTCCCAGGCCTATAGATTTTTAAATCACACCACAGGGGTAAACCTTAAAAGAAGTGAAACCTAACACTATATATATTTCCATTTCTAAATACAGTATATTACAGAAGGTTTAAATATACCACCTCTGTGTACTTACAACTATAAAAAGATACATTAACTATACCAATTATAAATAATGTAGCATTTCATATTAAAGACATTATTGTACAATGAGAGAATAGGAACCCTCTAACGTACCACTATCAAGGTTAGTGTCTATAGCTACTTGAGATAAAATACTGAAAATTCAGTGTATGAAGTCAAATCCTGATTTAACAAGTTATTGGTAGTGTGAGTGATAAGTGTTAGCTGATGAAGGGAAGGTAAATGTGGTAATTTATATCTCTGACAAGGGTGATAGGCCCATTTTATACATGGTTTTCCTTATACACACACTGGTTCTGATACGGGGCCTCATTTTGTTATTGCCCTCTCCAATTTAATTTGCAAACTTAAGCACCACTTTCCCAATTAGGAAAGTACTAGTTAGTAACCATAAAAGTATCCGAATAATACATTTGTTTTTGTATTTGAAGCTACATGGGAACACTTTCAGTTTCCCAAGTTAAAACATGAAATTGCACATCATCATTTGGATACCTAAAGAGGAAAAGAAAAAGTCACAACCTGCCAGTGAAATACTCAGGCCACTTGGATGAAGACCCAGGTCCTCCATAGAATCCAGGTGTTATTTACTAACTAATCAGAAATTAACATCAAAATAGGACTTAAAAATAACAAGGCTGTGTTATAACAGCAGTCTTTCCAGTTGTGTATGTTTTACTAATCTAAAATGGGTAACAGAACTGGAGAAAAAGAAGACTATATAGACTTATCGTAAGCCATTAGTGAACATGATAGAAATGCATAATTTGTTAAAGCGCATTACGGCTCTGATTTGTCAAATGAGGGCGTTAATTATCCTGGGATTTGCTATGCTGTTGTGGTGTTAGAATATTGGATCTTTAGCAGCAAAGGTAATATCAACAATATTTTCTGCTTAAGAAAGTGCCTTGGTTAAGGTAGACCATGATATCATTTTTGACTAAGCTCTCTGGGCTATTGATTCTGTCCTATTCCAAAGGCAGTATTGGTTTGAAGCTGAATCTCACGGTCAATGTCAATATGCAATCCACAAAGACCCTGATATCCTTCCACGGTATGCACTTCCCAAAAGTTTCTCACCATGAAATCCTTTTTTTTTTTTTTTAAACAAACAAACAAAAAAACCCCCAAAACGTACTGTGAGTCCTTTCCCATGGATTGGTCCCACCTTTACCTCGGAAAGAGGCGTGGCTTGCTCTGTGAGCAGGTCCACCCTGAGGAGACCACAGGTGCAAGAGCCCTGCTTGCAGAACACGCAGGGGGGTTTTCCCACATTCTTATTGGAGTCAGATTCGGCAAAGCATTTTAAGCAATGGTTGGATACTTCAAATACCACTCCCTGTTAACAACGCCCTGAGTATCTCACTGTCTCCGGGATCTGGACTAAAGTGAAAAACAGAAATGGCCAACAGCTCCCTCCCGAGGCAGGACTGCGATTTCACAGACAACATATGGGCATCCCCAGTTTGGTGAATTAACAGGAGAGTGAGAGGAAAACAGCAATCATTCAACTCCAGTAGATGTAAAGCCTCCAGAAGAATGTGTACGGGGAAGGTCAGACATGTCATTTTTTTCTCCAGCACGTTTCATCTGCCACATTCCCCTGTCTGATGTTTGAAGAAGGAGCCCCGCCTTTCCTTCAGGGATTCTTGTCGCCAAGTTTGATGGTGACAGTTTTCACTTCTGTGTATTCGGCCAAAGCATATTCACCTCTGTGATCACAGAAAAGAGGAAAATTCAAAATGGGCACGTTCCTTAGCCTTTGTGTAGAAACTGTTCTGATGCTTCATCATTCCATCAGGCCATTGGAGGCTTATGCAAAAGGTCAAAATGTGACGACTTCATGGAATAATAGCCAGGACTATAACACCACTAGTAAGTGCCAATAGCTGCATATGTGACTTAAATGTAAATATCAAGGTTTTCTTGTGTGTGATGCTTTTGAAATAGCCAGGACTAATGGTTTACCTTTGGAGAATAAAGGGGATTTAAAAAAAAATAAAGAGGTGAATTCCCTGGGATGGCAATAGAGAGCAAAAAGAGAGGGCCTGGTGGACGGAGGGGTGAGTGTGAACAAGGGAAGAGCAGAAATTACACTGGGTTTATAACTTTTAGATGGCAATTGGGAGCTGCTTGAAGAGGAGACAGAAGAGGCAGAGGCCCAAAGCCATTGGCTGGGGATGTGGCCAGAGGACCAGAGGGAAGAACACTAAGGGCCTGAAGTTGGCCTCAGAGTGCACAGCTGGGGACCAGTTGTCAGACAGTGAGGCCAGCCTAGGGGGCGTGAGGGAAGCAGACATTAGCACAGACTGGACACGGGGAGTCCACAGCCTTTGGGTTCACATCCTTGATGTAGTTCCTTTCTTTAAATGTTGCAGGGCTCAGGTGATCCTTCCCTGGCACCATGGTCTGTCTTCAGGGTAGCTTCCCTTCCAAGACCCAAGAGGCAGCTTTGGAGAGATTTAAATCCCTCTAAATGCTTGATCTGCTGTCAGGTGAAGAAAAATGTGTGCTTGTTTAGGAAGAGATGAAGCTAGAGGTGGTCACTGGAGTCTCTGGAGTTGAAATGACTTGTGACAGAATCCCATCTCCTCCCTTAGACCAATGGTTCTCAAAGTGTGGTCCCCAGACCAGCAGCATCAGCCTCACCTCTGAACTTGCTAGAAATGCAGATTCTCAGGCCTCCCCCAGCTCTACTATGGTAGGCAGAATAGGGATTTCCCCAAAGGTATCCACAATCGGATCCCCCAAGCCTGTGAATATGTTAGGCCACGTGGTAAAGAATTAATGTTGCAGATGGAATTCAAGTTACTAATCAATTGATTTCAAAAGAGGGAGACTATCCTGGATCATCCAGGCATAGACCCAGTGTAATCACAAGGGTCCCTAAAACTGGCAGAAGAAGAGGCAGAGCAAAATGAGATTATAGAAACAGGTTCAGAGATGCAGCAGTGCTGGCTTTGAAGATGGAGGATGGGGCCACCAGCCTAGGAATGTGAGCAGCCTCTAGAGGATGGAAAAGGCAAGGAAGCAGATTCTTTCCTGAGAACCTCCAAAAAGGAATGCAGCCCTTGATTTTAGCTCACGGAGACCTGTGTCAGATTTTTATCCTACAGAACTATAAGATAATAGATTTATGTTATTTAAGCCACTGATGTTATGGTAATTTCTTGTAGGAGCAATAAAAAACTAATAAACGTACTGAATCAGAAACTCTGTGATGGGGCCCAGACATCTGTATTTTAACAAGTTCTCCAAGTGATTCTGATGCATACTCAAGTTGGAGAACCACTGGCTTAGAACTATGTTGCTTAGGTAAGTTCTTTGCCTTCCCTGAGCCTCAACTTCATCAGCTATCAAATGGGAATACCATCACCTCCTTGTAATTATAACAATTACAGATAATCACAGAGAGCACCTACTATGTGTTAGGCAGAAAATGAATGTTAGGTGCCATTGAGATTTTTAGGTCATTTTCTAAAACAAATAGTTGCAGAACCCATGAAAATAAGTGAATTATTTTATAATCTTTTCTAAATATAACACAAAATACAAAAGCCATAAACAGAACGCTAAATTCTACTTTTGTAGAGCAGAGACTCCATCAAAACTCCCAAATGACAAACTAGAAAAAAAAATTTACAACACTGTGTGAAGATCAGAGTGTGATTTTCCTTAATATACAAAGAGCTCTTGCAAACCAACAAGAAAAACACAAATAACCAAATGGAAAAATCAACAAAGGACAGGAATAGTTTGCAGAAAAAGAAATACGAATTACCAATAAGTGTGAAAATGGTGCTCAACACCATCATGATTAAAGAAACGTAACCAAAACAGTGGTAAGCCCATTTTTCAAGTGGCAGATTACTCAATTTTAGGAATTTATTCTGAAAACAATCTCCCACAAGTGCATAAAGATGTATACACAAGGAAGTACATTAGCATGGTTTGTAATAGCAAAACCCCTTGGAAATACACAAAATTTCCTCATAGGAGATCATCAATAAAAAGAATGGAAGGATATCCAAAACCCAGTCTCAATAACAAAATGTAGCTTGCTCCCATTTCATTTGAAAACAGAAAAGAACACACATATATAAATCCATTGTATGCAAATAAAATGCACAATACACTTTAAGAAGTGAGAATATAATGTCGCATTGTAAAAATTCAAAGCCAATAATGATTTCTCAAGTTAGTAAAGAAAAGAAAACAAAGTGATAAAATCAGATTGAATTAACACATAACTGACACATGCAGTAGTATTAAAGCATTCCTTTAAGAATAAATACATAGCTCCTCTCATTTTTTCTATTTCTGAAGTTGCTGTCCTGGTGCAAATTCTTGCTGCTCTTATTCAACCTAGCGGAACATCTCCTACATGGATTCTCAGCCAGTCTCATCCACTTTGGAGTTCAAAGCTATCCGTGAGCCCAGCCTTACTCCTATTAAACCTCACCAGAATGTCAGGAGGCACAGGGACTGGTGGCTGTGCTGTTCACTGCAATATGCTCAGAGCCTAGCATCCTGCCTGGTGAATCAAAGATACTCAAGAAATATTTGCCAAGCAAATAAAAGAAAGAATGAGCAAATGAATGATGGAACAACGTTTACCTCTAACAAATTGGATTGAAGGTCAGGGAGGGAAGCCTTGACTTTCCATATCTCTATTGTGTAGATTTTTTGGTTACTGTATCATTTTTATTAAGAAGAAAGGTGCCCAGGAGGAAGAGGAATTTCAGGCTCCATCCTGAGACCCGCACAGAAACAGCTCCCGGAGGGACCCGTGGGTGGGCGGCCAGAAGCCAGCCCAGTCCAGGTGGCCGGGGACGGGGAAAACCATGGAATCCCCCGCACAACGCTCCAGCATTAAAAAAGGGGAACTTCTTGCAACATGAAGACATTAATTAGAGACAACTGAAAACAGAAATTGGTTTTCCAGGCAGTTTCTAGGCTCCTTGTGAATTATTTTTAAATATTTTATCAAAAGCCTTGAGAAAATATAGGCCAAGGGTCTAAAAAACAGACATTCAAAAAAGTCCCGATGGTGGCTAACTGGCAGGAGGATACATGGGCTGTGTTCAGTGAGTCCTCCCCGAGCCCTGCTCTGTGCCAGGCGAGGGGGTGTTAAGGAGCCAAAAGCACTGTCAGGGTGGCAAGAGGGGAGGCTGCAATGAGGGCGAATCACCAGTGCAAAGCCGTACACACCAGGGATTGGGGGCCCTGCAGCTTCTATACCCAGGGACATTTGCTTTGGGGACTGGAGTTCTTGCTGTGGGGTTAGGCTCTGTCTGGCCTCTGGGAGAAGGACTGTGTGGGGTCTAGGTTCCCCAGCCCTAATGACCCAGCTGGTTGAAGGCAGCAGATGAAAGGGGATAAATGACCACGCAAGCCCTGGGTGGCCTCACAAACAGGTGGTGGACAAGGGTGACCCCTGTTGAGCAAGGTCCTGCACTGCGGTGGGTCCAAGGACTAAGCTGCCAGCATTCATTTCTGACTGTCACTTACCAGCTTCCTGTGCCATTTTCTCATCTGAAAACAGCTGGACCCATCTCATGGATGGGTGTGAGGACGGTATGAACAGGCACAGAGAGCTCAACAGAGCCTGCAGCAGAGTCTGTGCTCAGCAAATCCCAGCTGTTGCCAGTACTGTTGCTGTTGGAGGGCCCAAGAGGGGACACTGGTGACCCCAGCCCTGGCTGCCTGTCCCTGGAGGGGCAGGTGTAAGAAGTGATGAAGCAGGGGCTCACAGAACTCAAATACAAATAGGCCACTAGAGGGAGGAAATGCAATTTCTGCAAAGGGGTTTCATGGCCAAGAATTACTGATGTCCCCTGAAGAGGAAGCCAGCCATAGGGATAAGGGGGAGGCTAATGGGCAGGCTTCACTCACATGTGCAGACGCCTTGGGGTATTTGCTGAGAGTCAGGGATGGACTACAAAGCAGGACTGAGGTGGGAGGGGGACAGGACCCCAATTCCACATAGACTGGTCAAGAGCATCTGTTCAGGGATGGAAGCCAGGCCCATCCCTTCATAGCGTCTTTAAGAATCTCAAAAGAAAGCCACAAAAAGGCCCCAACCAAGGCCCAAGGTAGGGGAAGCGTTTGAGTCTGTTCCCACTGGAAGAAGTGCAAACAAGTACAAGGGAGTACATTTGTATATAAATAGGACAGACTGGTGAAATAAAAGGAAGAGTTTGGATCCCTAGAGATGTCCCAGGAACCTGGGGTGTTGTCACAGATGGTTCCTTGGGAACACTGATCCTACAAAATGTTTGTCCACAGAGGCTAACAAAATCCTGAGCTGGGGAGAGAAGATAGTGTCCGGCTGGAAACCACACATCTCCACTCCCTGGATGCTCTGGGCCTGGGCCAGACACAAGAAGTTCCACCCATTAATCTAAACCTAGGGAACTCATCTTCCCAGCAGGCAGGACAAAAAAGGAAGTGTGGATCAGTTTGCACACACAGTGGAGAGGTTTGCAGTGGGTTTGCACACACAGTGGAGGGGTTTGCAGTGGGTTTACACACACAGTGGAGGGGTTTGCAGTGTGTTTGCACACACAGTGGAGGGGTTTGCAGTGGGTTTACACACACAGTGGAGGGGTTTGCAGTGTGTTTACACACAGTGGAGGGGTTTGCAGTGGGTTTACACACACAGTGGAGGGGTTTGCAGTGGGTTTACACACACAGTGGAGGGGTTTGCAGTGGGTTTACACACACAGTGGAGGGGTTTGCAGTGTGTTTACACACACAGTGGAGGGGTTTGCAGTGACACACACAGTGGAGGGGTTTGCAGTGGGTTTACACACACAGTGGAGGGGTTTGCAGTGGGTTTGCATGTACTGAGAGGGCTGCAGAAGCCCAGCAGGAGGTGTTGTCATATGCCTGCTGGGAAGGGCCCCTGCTAGGCTCAGAAAAAAGGATCCAACAGGTAGGAGCCTTACCTGGGTCAGCCTTACGTGTCTTCACTGCTGTGAGTGGGGAGTTGTGTGAATAATGACACCCCACATCTGGTAAAAAGTACACTTTTTCAGTTCTGCCTGTGTCCCCATTCAGGGAGCTTCTGTCAAGTATCCACTGAACGTCCCCAGCATGATGGGTGCTGGGCAGACACAAAAGCTGAGGCCTGGAGGGGGGCAGGCTGGGGAAGTGAGTGGGAAGGGTGGGGGTGGTGGGTGGGAGAGAGGAAGAGATGGGTCCCCACTAGCCCTAGAGTGACACAGCTGGCCCAGACAAAGCAGGATGGCAGTGGAAGGGGGCGGTCAGCAGATTGGAGCCTGAGTCACTGCCTGCAAATCTAGTGGATCTTGTATTCAGCCCATGGCAGGCTCAGAATGATGGACACACTTACAGTTCTCTGCCATTTCCTGACATTTTAAAGCCACCAAACGGAGCCTGCGCGTAGAGGGCGTTGTAGCAGTTGATCCTAGAAAATAATGGAAGAAAGTTCAGAGTCATCTGGAGAAGACCCCCTGGCTCCTGGCACTGCAGCCACTGAGCCCCCAATGCAGGGCATTGACTAATAAACAGTCTTTTGCCAAAGCTTGCATGATGAAAACACAGGGTGCTCTCAACTTTTGTCTTCTCATTCTTCCCATCAGCAACATTTGGAAATCCTCAAGTACAGAGTGTGTTTCATTGGGATAGGAATGAAATGATAAGGGGAGAAAAAAGAAGAGAGGATCAGGCATGATGACTTATGCCTGTAATCCCAGCACTTTGGGAGGCTGAGATGGAGGGATCACCTGAGGTCAGGAGTTCAAGACCAGCCTGACCAACATGGTGAAACCCCATCTCTACTAAAAATACAAAAATTAGTTGGGCATGGTGGCGTGTGCCTGTAGTCCCAGCTACTCAGGAGGCTGAGGCAGGAAAATTGCTTGAACCTGGGAGGTGGAGGTTGCAGTGAGCTGAGAGTGTGCCACTGCACTCCTGCCTGGGGGACAGAGCGAGATTCCATCTAATTAAAAAAAAAGAAAGAAAGAAAAATCAGAGTGTAGAGGAATAAGAATTAGCTTTGAAATGAGACAGATCTGATCTTAAAGTTCTCCTGCTTCCTGGTTATATGATTCCAGGCTTATTGCTCAACTTCTCTGAGCCTCTTAATCTTTAAAACGGGGATCACAAAACATCATCTGCAGAATTACTGATGAGGCAGGGACTAGTATCCCTATTTTGCAGATGGGCATGAACTGCTCTTAGAATCAGAATGGAAAACAAAGTTGGAGGGGCAGTACAGCACAGGGGTCACAGGCACAGGCACTGGAGCCCTGTCGGCCATCTGCTAGCTGTGTGACTCTGGGCAAGTCACTTCATCTCTCTGTGCCTCAATTTTCTCATCTATGAAATGGAGACATAATGGCACCTACCTGAGAAGGTGGTCATGAGGATGGAAGGAAGCACTGAGATAGTGCTTGGTACATAATATACAATGTAAACAATGAGAAACTCTCAGTTAATAGAAAAATAAGGAACTTAGCAAGAAGCAACTCAGGAGAGCTGAAATACACACACAGTCAACTTACCAGACCGTTCCAGACTCTAAGGCAGAAGCCAACTTCAGAGCTTTGTCGAGGTTTTTTGTGAACACGGCTGCTGTGAGTCCATAGTCAGTGCTATTGGCTCTTTTTATCACTTCTTCGATACTTTTGAACTTCAGTATTGGTTGCACTGGTCCAAAAATCTATGATTAATTGCAAGAATGTCAATGAGAGGCATGACTGAATGGAAATGCATGCTGTGAGCAAACATTTCCTTCTCTTTACACGTTTTTCATATACCCAGAGCACACACATGCATGAAAAATGATGATTAGAGAAGAAAGAACGTCCAAACATTTCTTTAGCTGCATTACCATTGAAGACTGAAGGGAAGGATTAAAATGAAACAAAAATAAAAAATAATAACAAAAAATGTATGTTGTGTTTAAGATGTCTTGTTGTCATCAGGGTTTCTGAGAAACTCAGCCAGAGAGTCTTGGAGTAACCCATAGATGCACAGAAGACAAAACTTTTAGGTAACTTTTTTGAGAGTTGTCTTGAAGGATATTTGCAGGCACTTTGTAAGACTGTGCTCCTACCTCTTGGAGCTGTGTTTCCAACCAATGAAGATACCCTAGAACATTTCCATAATAATTACCAGAGAAAGGAATGGCACAATATTCACCACAGTTTGTGATATAGCAAAGAAAAGGAAATGGAAGAACTAAGGCTTGAACATTTAAAGGTGATTTTGAAGGGAGCTTGTAATTGATTCAATATTAGACGTAATTATAAGCTGGCAGGATGGTGCCTGGCCTGTCAAAATATCTTCCGGGTTCCCCAGGACTTCTCGTCACAGGGATGTTTAAGGAGCTGAGCTTTATGCCATCACCGCACATAACAATCTCGAGGAAGACACCTCTAAAATACCTGCCCCAGAAAGCCCTTGGTAGGGACTCATCCTTTTATGTGCCCCAAAAGGCCACGTCCAGGGTCTAACCTCCCGGGATCCAGCTCTCCTCTTACAAATGCTGTGGGGGAACCAGTTCCCATCTAGTGTAAGCGGGGTTGAAAGACAAAGATTTACACTCTTATGGGAGTGGGGGAGTCTCCTTAATTTCCCTCATTTCCAAGACATCCATGGTGGAAAATGTCAATAAGAATTCCAGCTGTGACATGTTCCTTGAGTGAACACTTGAAGTTTAGTCTGGGGGGCCCTGAAGGCGGCCTTGGGCCCTGAATCCACAGGTTCTTGAATTGATCCCTGGCAAAACCCACAGGTGGCAACAGTTCTCCACCTGCAGTTGCATGACTGACTCAGGGACCCTGTGTGTTAGATCAGAGAGGGCTTGCTGCTCCCCAGAGAGGGTGAGCCATGAGTGAAAACTAGCTAGAACAAACAAGGTACTTGCTGTATCATGTTTGGAGTTCACCAGAAGCAGGGACAAAACGGCTTCCCTAGAGACCCCAAAGGAGAGGGGAAAGACCACACAGAAACAACAACAACAACAACAAAAACAAAAAAACGCTCAGATCACAAGGATTTCTGGGATCCCTGGGCCCTAGGGAAGGACTCCTGTTTGAAAGGCCCTGCAGGCCGTAGTCTTGCCACGGCCCCCTTGTACCTCCTCTTTGGCAATCCGCATGTTGTCTGTGACTTCTGAGAAGACAGTGGGTTTGATGAAGAGCCCCTTGTCTTCCATGGCTGAGCCCCCACATTCCAGCTTGGCTCCTTCCTTCTTCCCACTCTCGATCAGCTCTAAGATTTTGTTGAACTGCTTTTGATCAATCTGCAAAACACAAACAAAAAGCGCAGCCTGGCTTCCTTCTGGGCAGTGGCTGCCATCTCATGTTTTCAGTGGCCTTCAACATGATCAGCCATCCTCCCTCTGCACATTCTTGGCAAGTCATGATCCATGTAACTAATGTGCCTTGCAGGCAAATATTCCTCTGATGCACAGAGCTGGACTCTCTGGAGTAGGGGAGAGATGGGGAGATAGACTCATCTCATCCTCTGGAGGTTTGGGACTTATTTACACTTCTATCTCCCTTTTCCATGCAGCAAAGTTAGTCCATGGGTGACACAGGTCTGAAATGGTCACATTCTTTCCTCTCCCAAATCTTTACATTCTACTCAGGTTGCCAAATTTGGCAAATAAAAATACAGGATGCCCAGTGAATCTGAATTTCAGAAAAATGACACATAATTTTTTTTAGTATAAAGCATGTCCCAAAACAATATTTGGGATATACTTAAGCTAAAAGTGCATTCACTGTTTATCTGAAATTCATGTCTACCCGGGTGCCATGTATCACCTGGCAACCCTGTGCCCTGATCAGTTGGCACCATGACTCAGGGTTATAGTTACTGGAATTCTCCTATCATGATGCAGAGAAGTGAGAAGAAAAGCTAACTACCTTACTCAACACTCCTGGGGACAAAGCAGAATGAAACTCCAGGTGGGGCAGAGGGGCTGCTCCTTGGTTAGTGGGGAACAGCTCATGAGAAAGATTCTTCCTTTTGCTGTCTTGTCTAGACGTCTCCTTGGCTGGAGTTTGCCCTATACCACCAGCCTGACACACAGTTTGTGAACATGCTACTGACCAGTTGTCAAAAGCACACCCTTTTGGGAGACTGCTCAAGGGGGAAAACGCTCTTTCTGCCCCCTCCACTGGGCCTTCTTCCTGAAATCTATGGGAATCCTGTCCTTTATCATGATCTTTGGCTGGTCTCCCTCCTCTTTGGCTAGGAGAGACAAAGCTTTACTAGGTTTACTTTAGCTGGGACTTTTAGATAGGAAAACTGGTTTTATTCCAATAATCATAAACAGAAAAACAAGCAAACCCAGTGGTGCGATTGTATGACAGTCTGTCCTGGAGGAGCAGGAGAGAGGGCATAAACCATGTATGCCACTTGACCAATCATCTCGTGAAATATGGACCCAGTTTAAAAATACTAACTCAGATCCATACCTCACACCTTATACCAGGCCAAACTCCAAATAGATCAAAGACATAACCAGGAAAAACAAAACCATAAATGTTTTATATGTGGGAGACTTCTGCGAACTTGGAGTGCCTTCTAATGACTCAAAATGCAGAGGCCAAAAAACAAAAGATGTATAATTTTGAGTATGTAAAAAAAAAAAAAAAAGCAAGAAGGGGAGCAAAATTATCATAACAAAGAGCAAAACAATTGACTTGGAAAAAATATTAACAAGTCATATTCATAGAAAGCTAATCTCTCTACTATGTATGTAAAGAGGTCTTAGAAGTGATAAGAAAAATGCCCAACATTTTGAAAGAAAGATATGCAAAGCAAATGCACATTTGATAATAAAGGAAATACAAATGGTTTTTAAATATATAATAGATGTTCTTGCTTATTGTAAGAGGTACATGCATATTAAAATGAAACAAGATACCATTTTTAACTCTCAGATGGGAAAAAAATCCATATTCTGTTGGAAAGGGTCAAGAAACAGACAAGCTTCTAGAATATTGGTAGGAATACACATTGGGTCAGCCTCTATGGAAGGTAATTCAGCAACACTTAAGGAAATTACAAATGTGTTCCCACTTAGCAACCCAGTTTGGGAAAGCTGTCCCAGGGATCTCCTTGTGTGTGTGTGAAATTACATACTCTGAGGCCTTGTGTGTGGCTGCACATACCCACATGCTAATCAGAAGACGTTACTGAAATTCTGGTGGCTTCATCCAGCAGAATTCTGTACACACGTGAAAAAGATTCAGGCAGGTTCCCATGGACTGGTATAAAGAGCTCTTCAAGTTTTTTTTTTAGGGAACAATAAACATAGTGCAAGATAATATACTATCATGGTAACTTTCGTGTAAAAATAACAAAGGCAATCAGGACTTGCATTCATATCTGCTTGTATACACATGAAAACATTCTAGAGAGAGACATCAGGAGCTAAGAACTGGGGATACCCATGGGAGGAAGGGTTAAGAACCAGGTGTACAAAGATGGGGGCGGGAGGGGCGGGAACCCTTTCACTGTAGATGTTTTTAGGCGTTTTGGGATTTGACCCACTTATGTGTACTCCACTCAAAAAAAGTAACAAAAACAAGTAACAAAATAAATGTAACAAAAACAGCTTTGCAACAGATCCCAGAAGAGCTCAAGGTTCTCTCAACTTCTTTCTGGGTGAACCAAGTCTCAGGTTAACAGTTCCAGATGTTGCTGAGCTGCTCTTCTCCCTGAGGGGCCAAAAGGGCCACAGGGGCTTCACCCAACTGCAGGTCCTCCCTGGCTGCTGGGCATATGCCATCTGGAAGACCCTGTTTGTCCTGCAGGCAGTGCTGGGTCCCTGTGGAAATCCTACACATCCAAACTCAACACTCCCTGGAGAGTCTGTAAGAACACATTGTTTAAATCTAATAATCCTCCATGAAATGTCAGCTGGTGCCTTACAGTACAGGAAGAGAGACCTGCCAGGAAGTGAGATGACGCGGCAGGGCACAACACCAGAAACAGGGAAATATGGCCCCCACAGGACTGGCTCAAGGCTGTGCTCAGCTCTCTGCCGGGAGGACACTGCCGGATCCTGCCTGGCCAGGTGGCCTGCATAATGTTTATATGCCTCGTTGCTCAGTTGCCAAATAAACCTGAATGATTTTGGAGCATTCCTGTGAGCGCTAGCCCGGCCGTGGACCCGGATCTAGGTCAGCTAGCTGTTTTACAGGCATGAGGCAGACAGGACTATTTAGACAGCTGTAAGTCCTCTCAGAGTAAAATCTTATTACCGTAGATGAAAAAGCACTTTGGAAGAAAAAAAAAATGCTAACAGCATGCTAAAATAATATGGTGAGGTTTGACGGCTTCAGTGAGCTTTCAAAAGGACTTTGAGTGGTGGCATAAATGCACTGATGAAATCAGCACCCATTCTGCCTCCATCTGTTCTCTTGGAAGAAATTGGTGTATCTGGCCTCAAAAGTCAAGACTGAGACATCAGGCACAAGCCACGAAAAGAGCCACGGAAAGAGACTTACAAATAACGATGGGGTAAAAAAGTTTCTTCCGTATGGGGATCAGTTCACACATTTCCCACTGATTCTGGATTAGCTTTAAAAATCACAGCGGATTCCATAATGACTTGTGGTCATGTTTGCGTTCAGATCTGAAATCCAACCGAGGCCATTAGACAACCTTGTGTCACTGACTGCTGGGTTTGGGGCAGAGGCTGGGCAGGCAATGACTGAGGAGAAGGAATGTTAGCCACAGGAAGAAGTGCTTTCTGCCAGGGTCACGTGGCATCGGAGTGTGTGGGCTGGGGCCAGTGGAGGGTGGGCACTAATGACCAGAAACCCACCCCTCCTCCACGAGGCCCTCCCTTCTTCCCCAGCCAGGGCATCCCCACAGGACAGCCTGATGTCATGCACAGACACTCACTGCCACCTAGACTGCAGAACCTGTCATTTAAAGCTTCCTCCTCTTTAAAAATAAAACCTGTCCACAATTGAATACTTCCTAGGTGCCATGAAATTCTCATAATATTCATTGATTACTCCCCATTCTCCAGATGAGGAAACTGAGGCATGGAAGGATTTTTGTGACTTTCATAAAGCCCAGGGCCAATCTGAGCTCAGATCCACAGCAGCCTCCCCTGTAAACATGCAACGCCGTCACAGTAGGGGAAGTGGCAGCCTCCCGGGATAGACACAAGTGGAGAAGTCACAGACATGTGACTTGAAATTTCGTGGCTGGGGCAGGACTTTGGCTCAAAGCAAAGTGAGTGGCTGCTGAGCTCCATTTCAATAATGTATGGGATGGTCAGGCTGCCCTCTTTTAAATATTTATCCATCTGCTTCACTTCATAATTAGTAAGAAAGTGATACAGGATGTGCCCTTTTAAAGAGGATATTAAATCTCGTGGTTATGATCATTTTCATCCTGTCCTTGGCTTCCCAAACTCGGCCTCCAGATACATGCTCCTACTGCCTGGAGATACATTCTCATGCCCCAGGCTCTCTCCATCTGGGATTGTTTGGTTTCTGATGGTTCACCTTGTTCTGTAACCCACGTGGGCTTGAGGGCCTTGGGCTGCCACTGAGACACCAGGCCACACCCTGCCTGCACTCTGCTGCCTTCAGCCAGCCTACAGCCCCTTTTCTGTAGGGAGACCATCCTGGAGAGTGGAGGGTGCAGGCAGATGGCCTTCTGCCCTGGGAACAGCGCCCTCCTCCCATGCCTCAGTGTGTCCTGCCCCCTTCCATGAGTCCCCAGGACCTGACCCGGGACCTGATGGGATTGTGTTGCTGATGAGTTTCTAAAGAAAAGAAAGCCTCCTGGGTAGGGCATGTCAGTGTTCCTTCCATGGAGAGGGATCCTGTAGGCCGTGGCCATGGGACTGCCTGCTTCAGCCCCTAGACAAGCACCATGGGTTTAGACACACCAGGGGGATTACCTGAGGCCCCTGTTCTGTTTTGACGTCGAAGGGGTCTCCCACGGGCCGTTTCCTGGCATACTCCACGCTCCGCCTGACAAACTCAGAGTAGACCTGCTCCTCCACGAACACCCTGGAGGCTGCTGTGCAACACTGGCCTTGGTTGAAGAACACTCCCTGATGGGCACACTCCACTGCCAAGTCCACTGGAGGGGGCGGGGCGAGGGAGGCGGGCGGAGTGAGAGGAAGCGATTAAGTCGTTAAAGCAGGACTGGCGACAGCTGCAATTCTAATTGCCTACACAAGAAAACAGGCCCCAGGATGGCTGCATTTCAGAAATTAATTTTGTTTGCAGACTTTCCCAGAGAGGAAGGGAGAAAGGATTTTGGGGTCCACCAAGTTTGGGGTTAAATCAATTCCCTGACTGCAGGACTTCTCAGTACCTTTAATATGCTAATAAGTCCAGAGAATCATAGCATTCCTCACTTCACTTGCCTATGTAACCCTCCCCTCCCCTTTTTCTAGAGGACTAATGTTTTATAGAATAAACTTTGGTAATTATTGATGTAGGCCCACTGGCGAAACTTCTAAAGAAGCCAAACTTTTCCACCTTGAGTAAAAGAAGGGTCTTATTAAGTAAGGTAACATTATGTGCGTGACTTGAAAGGTCTGACTCTAAGTTGTAGAGCTGACATTGAGCTAAAAACCAGTTATTCAAACCCAGCTAGAGGGCATTTAGAGAATAAGATCTTGGGGGACACGCTTAGTGGATAAGAATGGTATTGGGATGTCATTTACATCTACAGAGGGATTTCTAGTGTTCAACCCTTGGCTAGTTTCATCACCACCAACCCCCTGCACTACTGCTTGCTTAAGAAATGCAGCTTTCTTTTGCATAGAGGCTGGCCGTGGCTCTGGGCATTGGAAGGTGATCCATTCCAATTCCATCAGGGCTGCTCCAAGGGACTTTGCCCTTGGCTTTGAGAAGGAGGCTGCTCCTATCTAGCTGAGTCATTTGTGCAAGTTTCAGTGGCAGCAGGAACGCACCATAAGGTTTGGGGGTACCTCTCTGCACTCTCGACCCCTGCAGCTGGCTGGGCCAGGTCCCAACTTGGAACGGACCCTCCTCCAAAATAACAGACTCATTTCCTGCTCCTGATGGAGCTAGGGGTGAGGCGAAGGGGCAGGGGAATGGTGGCTTGTTACCCTTGATGTCTTGCCTGGGATGCTGGTTATGTCAGGATGTAATTTGTGGACTGGCACTGCCCTGATGAGGAGTAGGAGGTGGCTACACGGCATGTTTTTATGACCCTTGTAAGTAAAATCAAGCCCCAAACACAATTACTCCTGTGCTTTAGCTGCAGTTTTCCTCCCGAGAGGAAGAAGATGAATTTCAGTGTAGGCGGAGTATCCAGATATGGTGGCACAGGAATGCAAAACAGGAGTCTTGGCTGTTTGGGACTCCAAATGTGAGTCACAGTGCCAGAAACACTCCATGTGGCTCCAAAAACCACTTACTTTTCATAGCACTAACGGGTGCTTCCACACTAACTGCTGGAACACTAACCCAAGCAAGAAATAGGCAGTCCGTCTTCATACCCAGCTCCCCTTTCCTTCCTGAGAGCCTGTTTCCTCCTCCTGTCCTTTCTCCCATTGTGAAAGCCAGCTGCCAGAAAGGAACTGATATCAGTTATCTACGCCTTAGTAAGAAATTGTGCCAGGGTCATTTTTCTTAGAGATATTTGCAATTCCAACCTTATCTGAGTGTGAAATGAAAGGCTTTGTTCTCCATGACAGGAATTTCTGGCACCAGTGGACAGGTGGGGGAGGTTATTCTTTAAGGTAAAGGTGTTTTAAGGCACTTGGGAAGTCACACCTTTTGATAGCTGACGCTGTCAGCAGGGCGAATGAATGCCCGACCAGCCCTTTCTTCCCTCTTGTGGACATGGCAACCAACAATAGCATATATTTTAATGTTGTGTCTTTTGGTTCTGGCAAGACACAAGCTGCCCCCAAACTGCTGGGCAGGTTGCCTTCCCAGGGCAGGGGTGCAGGCCTAGAACCAGGCAAAGAGGGTAATTTGAAGGATCAGTTGCTACTGCCCTCCTCTGATTTATCACATCTGAGACACAAGGAAAAAGCATCTCCACTCTTCAGGGATCTTAAAACATATGCTAGGAAATGTGACTTGGAAGTGAGAAGAATGAATGACTGGGAGTGGGCGGCACTTGCCCTCCCCCCTACTCCCAGGGGCTCTGGAGGAGAAGTCAGACCTGCTCCTCGTGACCCCAGCTCTGCAGGAACAGGTGGGTAAACTTAAGGTGGAGGCACAGAAACAGGCGGCCTCTCAGGTGCCACTCAAGCCATGTCATTTTGGCAGTAGAAGGCAGCTTTCTACTACAAGTAAAGCTGGCATGTTGATGTCCACCTGCCTGTCTGCGGCTGGCTGACTGTGGGCGGGATGCCCAGGGTGGAAGTATCCCCACTGTGTGTGCATGCATCTTACTCTCAGTTGGTTTTGAATTCAGGCCAGGAAGTGGGGAGAGATGGATGGGTGCCCCGAAGCCCCAGCAAAGCCCAGGAGGCAGAGACTCACAGTCAGCATCAGCGCACACGATGCAAGGGTTCTTCCCTCCCAGCTCCAGCGTCACCCGCTTCAGATTGCTCCGGGAGGCAGCTTCTTTAACCAGTTTTCCAACCTCCAGGACAGAACACAGACCACAATGTACCTTGGATGTGGCTGAACTTGGCCCAGATGCAAACATCAGCGAACATTCTGGACAAGCCTGGGTGGTACTGCCACCACCTCGCTCTCTGCCCAGGCGCTCCAGGCCCCGATGGTGTCACTTCACGCTCCTGGCCTCTGCCAGCATCTCCTCCCGTCTGCCAGCATCTCTTCCCATGCTAGACCACGACATCCTGGGATCCTTGGTCTGAGCTGCTCCACTTACAGGTGGGAGTTGGAGCCTCTAGGAGCCCACACAGCTGGCTGAAAACAGGGCCACCACCTGCTCACCTGTCCTGGTGCCCGTCCTTCTGAGCCCAGAAGACTGGTCCAGCCAGTCTGGTGAAGGGCTTCAGGGACCACGGGGTGACTCTACCCCTCACTAGAAACAGCTGAAATTCCAACAGCCCAATAGGGAGGTGGTTCTGTGTGGCTCTTTGGTGTGATCTGAGGGAACCTCCAAGTGTTAGAGAAGTAGCGGGGGCAGCCAGCCTTCAGGATGAGAAGGAGCCAATTCTCTGGAAACACACTGTAAGACTGAGGCTGCCGCAGACAGGCAGGGAGTGAAGGGGTGCACTATGAGCAGAAGAGCCACTCACCAGTCATGCTTAACGCCCCCACGGGTCTCTCCCATTGCCCACCGCACCCCTGGAGGGGTGGGCTGGCCCATCATGACTCGGTGACTTATCTAGGGCAACAAGTAAAGCCTAGCACCGTGAACTTCAGAGCTGGGAAGACCCTCAGAGACCAGCACAGACACGGAGGCCTAGAGCCAGAAGCTAGCATGGGGCGGCCCGGGCTCTTTCGGGTCTGAGACTGTTTTCTCCAAAGCTAAGGTGTAAGTGCATTTTAAACATCAGCAAGCTCATGGGTGATGGCTGAATGAGGTCTGGAATCCATCCACAGGGACAATGTCTGTCCCCAAGCAGAGTAACGGCATCCATTAGGGCTGGACTAACTGAGGAGGGGGATGGGGACACTGATTGCAGTCGATGTTTTTTTCTTTTTTAAGTACAGAAGAAGTACTTTCTCATTAGAAGTAATTCCACACAGAGATGTATGTAAATTAAAGGGAGAAAGCCTTCAGCTTCCCTCCCGCTCTGCCCCTGAGCCCACCCCATAGGTGGCAATCAGTAATGATTTCTTGGGAATCCTTCCAGACAATTTCTACTTCTACAAGCACACGCTTTTATGAATGGGATCATATTGTGGGTGATTTTCTACAGTTTGCTGTTGTGTGCTTCAACAATAGATCATGGATAGCTTTCCTTGTTGTAACGGCTGTAAAACATTTCATAGAATGAACATAACATCCTTGAAAATATGTCCCTGAAGCCTTATGAGAAAATTTCTTTAAGTAGTTTGTTTTTTTTTAATGGAGCTTCTGAATCAAAAAGTTTTTCACTTATAAATGTTGGATGAGTGCTACCAAAACACCGTCATCTTAGGGAAAGTGTCGGTGAGTACCTGCTTCCCCATATTCTCAGTAGTATCATTTCAGTTTTTAGCAAACTGGCAGGCAAAAGGAGAGTCCGATTTTGTTTGAATTTGCATTTTCCTGATTACCAGCAAACTAGTTTAAGCTTATTGGGCATTTAGTATTTCTATTCTCTGAACTACCCATTTTTCTACCATTCAGTTTTTCTTTTTTTCATTGATTTGTAGGAGCACTTTACATATGATGGATATAAATTCTTGGAGCACCGCATGCATCACAACTATTTTTCTCTGAGCTTGTTATTTATCTCTTAATCTTAATTATGGTGTTGTTTGACAGATGAATATTTTACATTTTTACTTTATCTTATCTCTCAATCTTTTCTTCTAAGGCTTCTGAGTTCTATTGGATATTTATTTACTTTGGAAACCAGGCCAGTGACTTTTAAAACTGGTTGTTATATACTAAAACATGGTCAAATTTAGAAGAAAAACAAACCATATTAAAGCCTGTCAAAGGAAAAGTTCACGGGTGTCAAGTAACACGCCACTTTCACTTTCACCAGCACCCCGTGAGGAGGGTTACCTCTGTGGACCCGGTGAAGGCGATCTTGTTGACCTGAGGGTGAGAAGAAATTGCTGCTCCCACTGTAGGCCCGAATCCTGGCACGATGTTCACCACTCCTGGAGGGAACCCGGCCTGGGAAGAAACCAAGATAGCACTTGAAGAAGAACAGACTTCACCCACCATGGATCCACATTTGGGCCGAGAGAGCCGTGGCTGTGTCACATCCCCCAGGGAAGCCCGGGCCGGGGTGGATTTACCCAGGACCCGGATGCAGTTGCCCTTGGGCACCCTAGGAGCTGACCTGGGCTTTTTACCCCCTACTGCCAGCCCAGTGTGCAGGCTGGGCAAGGGGAGATGCCCACTTCTCCTTCCAGGGGGGACCCCATCCCAAAGTGATGTGCAGTGCAAATGTGTCATTATGCTGCAAGGTGGCCATGGCCCACTTGTAGCACAGCACCTTTCCATGTTGGTGGGGAGTGTGTGTGTGTGAGAGAGAGTGTGTGTATGTGTCAAGGGGAGAGGGGCAGCTTGATCACAACCCCCTGCCCAGGATCAGAAGCACCTGCAAAACATCTGCCCAGAGCTTCAGTTTTCTCTTTTTCTTTTCTTCTTCTTTTTTTTTTTTTTTTTTTTTTTTGAGATGGAGTCTCTCTCTGTCACCCAGGCTGGAGTGCAGTCGCGATCTCGGCTCACTGCAACCTCCGCCTCCCGGGTTCATGCCATCTCCTGCCTCAGCCTCCCGAGTAGCTGGGACTACAGGCGCCTGCCACCATGCCTGGCTAATTTTTTGTATTTTTAGTAAAGACGGGGTTTCACCGTGTTAGCCAGGATGGTCTCGATCTCCTGACCTCATGATCCGCCTGCCTCGGCCTCCTAAAGTGCTGGGATTACAGGCATGAGCCACTGCTCCCAGCCCAGTTTTCATTTATTAATCAGATCCGTTATTGTTCCAAATGGTGACAAGGTATCGCTCCCTTAAAGTTCTTTGCTTGTTCAACCTAAGTCTCACCTGGAGCAAGCCCTTCTGGAAGGCAGGGACTGCCACCTCGTTCATGTTCATGCCTCGTGTTTTTCATATACTAAGCCTCTTTATCAGGCAAGAAAAACAAACGAGGTGGAGGATGCTCTTCCCCACCTGTCCTGAGGCTTACTTAGAACACATTATTTCAGAAGGTCAAGATTTTAGGCACGGTGCTTGAGTCTTTAGATTTTTAGGCACTGTTTCTTAACAGTTGGGATTTTCAAATTCCTAAGTCTCACCAGTGTGACTTAATTATGCCCCACATCACCAAAGGAAAGCGAGAAACTGACTCATCACCAGCTGTTCCCACCTTGCCTCTAAGCAACCATGGACCTGCCTCCCAGTCATATCAGTCTGACTAAGAAGAGAAAGGAAAGGATCTTTCCTTCTGTCCCTCTTTGCTTTCTGTTGCTTTCTCTAAATCTTTGCTCCATACAACCTGGGGATGGAATGACAAAAGGTATGTCTGGAAGGAGGTGTCCCTTTGGGCCTCTATTTCCCTAAGTTCTGGCTGTCTGAGGGAGAAGAGATTGCATTCAGAGCAGAGGGCACTGATTAGCAGGGACCTGGCACACAGATAGCTGCAGCCGCCCAGCTGGAGCTGGCAAGGCCACCCCTCAGGAGAAAAACAGACCATTTCATAAACTGAGAATGCAAATCCCAGGGAACCTCCCAAATATTTGGCTCCCTCTTGGTTGACCCCCATGCAAATTCTCTAGACAAACCACTGGGTCCTCAACCATAGGTTTGAGCCCATAATAAGAGTTAAGCATTCTCATTAGGACCACTGGGAGGAATGGAGTTTCTCCAGCTCAGTGGCCACAAGCAGGAGAAAGAACGTGCAGTCGCCAAGCAAAACACTGGGAGTCATTCCCTTCCCACTCAATTGCCAGCAGTCTGCCACTGTCCCATCTCGTGATGGTGGCCTGGTTCCTAGGAGTGGGAATGTTACCAAGAACACGTGATATTTTCTTTCTGGATGTCTCACCTCTTTGATCAGAGAGCCGAGATGAAGGGCGGTGAGGGGAGTCTGCTCCGCAGGCTTCAGGACCATGGTGTTCCCACAGCAGAGGGCGGGTGCCAGCTTCCACACCAGCATCAGCAGGGGGAAGTTCCACTGCGACAGAGCACAGGGGCTTTGGGGGCCCAGATCCACCCTCCCACCCTGTCCCATGTGCCCAGTGATGCCTTTGTGGAGGACACTTGCTTTTCATGGTCTGGATTTGGGGTATATGGGGTAACATAGGAGTGTGCAATGATCAGAACTGCATTCCTGCACACTTCTTAAGTTGCATTCTGGGTGGTACTAATAGGTAACCTTTGCAAAGAGGATGCTATTGTATGTGTTCTACCTCCCCCTCTAAAACGTCTGCTGAAGACGTGTCCTCCTCCCTGCCGCCATGGACACTTTTCCAGCCCTCACTTCATGTTGCCACCTGGCTCTCCAGCTTCCTGCCTGGCTGTTGTTGCAATGGCCAGAGGCGTCCCAAACAGACAGGCAACACTGTTGCATTTCTTGGGGCACCTATAAGCATCCCCACTGCCCAATGAATAAAGTCCCGGCTCCTTGGCAGCCAAAGCTGCTGGAAGCTGGCCCACACCACCTGCCACGTGTGTGCACCCTCTTCCTCACTTTTGCTCCTGCCTGAGCTCTAGCCCCACCAGATTTCCTGCTGTTCCCTTCCAAGTAGCCCAGACACCTCTACACTTTTGCCTAGGCCATTCCTACTCCTTGGAAAATGATTTTTGTTGTTGAACAAATCTTTCTTATCTTTAAGGCTCAGTTAAGAGACCACCTTCCTGGGAATTCTGGCCATTCCTGACCACTCTGGCTGGAATGCACAGTGCTTTCTGTGGCATGCCTAAAGCTGGCCTTAGGAGAGCAGAAATGGGGTGTAATCCATCTCAACAGCCCTCAAGCATGGAGTTCCATGCCACAAAGAAAATGCTTGTTCAATGCTAGTGCAATCAGATAAAAACACACCAGAAATTGAGTCCAAAGGACACAGGGCAGTGGGGCGGGATCTACATAGAATCTACTGAGAAAAGCTGCCATACTTACTGGAGTGATGGCCCCACAGACACCAATGGGCTCATGCCTGGTGAAGCACACAACGTTGTCATCTGGAAGAGGGTTACATGGTGGGAAAGGATACACTCACTTAATCCAGGTTAGAAACTTGAAGTAATAAAAAGACAAGAAAGAAACCAACAAGGGTGCCAGATTCAAGTCTTGTCTATTATACACAGAAGTGATTTGACCTCAACTTTAAAAGTGAAGTTCTTAGAAGAAGAATTGGCAGTACCATTTGGAGAGGGAGTGGGGCTGGGAATGGTGACTTGGGGAAACAGTCAGGAGGGGCTCTGGATTAATGAAAAGATATAGCCTCAAAGGGACTATAATATAAGCTATAATATAAGCTATAATCCACCTTGCTCACCTGTGGGGATGGTCTTGCCCTGGATTTTGTCCGCCCACCCTGCAAAGTATCTGAGGGTTCTAATACAGCCCTCCAGGTCGATGAAAAAGGCATGAAGAAATGGCTTCCCTGTATCCATCGTCTCCAAGGCCTGCAATAACAAGATGATGTCTGTTTTGGACATGATTTGCTTTTCTTTTGTACTGTCAGGCTGTTAAAGATGGAAGTTGGGGAGAGAACATAGTCCTAGGACATCACTCTGTAGACCTCACAGTCAGATGTACCTCTTCAGAAAGCATGACACCAAATGTAAAGTGAGGCCTGTCCCTGAGTGTGAGGATTGCTTTTATTTCAAAACACCTAAAGTGGGCCAGAACATAGACATGCACCCTCTTTGAAGGATGCATGGAGGCAAGGCAGATTTAAAGCCGTGCTGGGAAGGAATGCACACTGGCATCTGATCTTCCATCTGTAGCACAGTGGCCTCTGCCATGTGGCCGGTCGTGTGTGCCTGTGTGTTCCCAGGAAACTCTCTGAAGGTTAGCTGGCTTTGGGGTGGCTGTAGTGGGAGCTGCCCTCCTCGAACAAAAGAGAAAGGGAAGATGTAGGCTCTTCCTTCTCAGCCAGGCTGGCCACTGTGGCTGTGGAAAGTGACCGAGCCAAGAAGGGTCACGCCCCCAGCACAAAGATGCAATCCTTCCCTCCTGCACTGCAGAGTCCGGCCGGATGCAGAGTCGGATGCAGAGTCGGAAGAGAGCAGACTGCCCTGCTGGTGAGGGAGGTGATTACCCAGGGCGAGTGTGCAGCCACTCAATGGCAGGGATTCTTTTCTATTTCCAGCCTGGGTGGAAGAGAACCCCTTTGTCCCTCAGACAAGTGGTCCCAGTTGAGCCCAGCGCTGAAACCGCCAGTCATCCGCCTCTGCAGGAAGTGGCCGCCCTGACACATAGCCCAGGGCTGGATTCTTGTGAAAGAGTCAGTGGAGTGAGGTGATGATTGACAAAGGAAGAAGAGGCCCCTCCTCAGGCCCAGGGCCTTAACCCCAGCACACTCCCCAATGTCTCACCCAGGCCCCTCCTCAGGCCCAGGGCTTTAACCCCAGCGTACTCCCCGACGTCTCACCCTTTGAGCTTCATGACTGTATTCCCACTTCAAGGTGCAGGCACAGTCACTAACGGTCCAGTGACTTGGCCAAGGCCACCCAGTGAGGCAGCAGCTGAATTCGGGGCATCTACTTCCGGCCAGAACAGCAACTGGCCTTTAGAGGCTGCTCCTGGACACGTGTGCCTGGAAAGACTGCAGGACAGCCACTCCAGATGCTTGGGCTACCCCAGCTCCCCTTTGCTTCAGGAATGAACCAAGCCCCCTCTAATTAGGAGGCAACCACATCTGCTGAACCCTAGTTAAGTAAGTGGGATTTGGGTAAGTCCTGGAATCTCTCCCTGCCTCAGTTTCCTCATCTGTAATTAAGAATAATAACGGTTCCTACCTCACAGGGCCAGTGTTAGAGTGAAAGGAGTCAGTGGACACAGAGCACCAACCATAGTGCCCGCCCATGGTGAGTGCTAGATTGGTGTTCACATGAGAACACTGATGATTACACTGATTATCGTCATCTTCCCGTTAGGCACCAGAGAAGGGCTTGGTGATCCTCACCTGGGGGCCCAGACAGGGCACTGGGTTGCTGAAGACCACAGGACTGGTCTAGGTTGGGGGTGTGTGTTCTGCCCCCAGCAGCTGCCGCTCAGGGACTGAGTCAGGCCAGTGTGACATCAAGTATACTCTACTGTTGGTTCCTATAGATTTCACTCAAGTGTGAACTTTCGTTTTCCAGGGGAAACCTAGCAATTGCAAATAGTGCCAAAAGGCCTCTAACACTGACCTATGCCAGACAGTAACTGCATATCTGTCAGTGGAACCAGGAGTTTATTCTTCGCTCTTTTCTGGGATGGAAAAAGACAGGACTTCAACATCCAGCACTGAGGGTAAGTGCAAGACATGGAGCCAACATTCTGCCTCCAGTCCTGGCTGGGTGACCTAGGACAGGTTATTTAACCTCTCTGGGCCTCAGTTTCTCATCTCTGAAGTGAGATAAAAAATCCTACAGCTCAACAAAGCGGGTGACGTTGAGCATTCAACAAGCATTGCTACAACAAGCCAGATCCATGGCGAGCATTCAACAAGCATTGCTATTTGTTTTTATTATTAACTTCAGCAAGTTTGCTTACTGGAATGACAACATGAATTTACCAGGTTGGTTTTATGGAATTTCTCTGAGCAAAACCCAGGTCATGACTAGGTTTAGATGGGAAATTATTAGAAAAAAAATTGTGCAGGTGAGTGAGTATGAGTGCTAACTACATATTGAAAGAGTCATCCTTTAAACAACTTGTTATTGTGGCTCAATCATGAGTAAACCATAGCCACTCCTAAGTTTATTTCCTTTAGCATTTTAAGAGAAAAATGTGCCCCCTGAGAAATTAACACATCATAACCCTCAGATACTAAAGAATGACAGGAAAGTGCCAGGAAAACAGCACAGCAGGGCTTACAACTAGAGGACCCAGAAATGGCACTTGGGGTGAAAAGGAGAGTGGATAGGGAGGGCTTCTGTTTGGGAGCTCCCAAAATGAGCACCCAAAGAGGAGAGCTGGGGCCTGGGTGCCCCAGCAAAGGAAAGCCATCCAGGGGCTGCTGGATCCCCCACATCTGTTTCCAGACACTGAGCACAGAAATAAACACCCAGCTCTGTCAAACCACTGAGCCGGCAAGAGAACACGCTCCATGAACATGCACGGAAACCATATCGAGGTGGAGAGCAAGGGGCGCTCTCTTGTGATGTGGTCGGAGTTTTAAAAACCGTGTTTGCCAGTAATTCTCTTGTCCCTTTCATGTTGTGGCAAAGAGCTGGATCTTATTTCTTGTGGGCAGTGAGGTCCCAATGGCAGAAGTGATTTGCTGGGTTTGCATTCTGAGGTCCTCCAAAGCTCTGTCTGCTGTCAAAACACAGTCGTGCCAGGACAATGGGGCAGGCTGAAGATGAAGGTGGCTTTGCAGCCTCTGCTTCTAAGATGATACTGACACTTAAGGACAGGGTTCGGGGGGGTGCCCAGGGCATATCCTCTCTAGCCTGCTATTAGTCCACACGGACATTGCTGACTGATGAGCTCATGCCGGGTTAAAACAGAAATGTTTTTGAAAAAGCCAGTTTGGCAGCTTGAGTGTTGAGGCTGGCTTACGTTGCAGGAAGAAACCAGAGGCTCCTCAGAGAGAAGCGCTTACCCTGGGAGGTTGCTACCCTCACCCGGGGAACATGTGGACTGGCCGGGCTGACTGGGAAGGAAGGAAGGAGAGCTTGAGTTTCTGTGTTGATGCACCCTTAGGGAAATGCACCCAAGAGTAAGGCCTGAGAGTTCTTCCACCCTAAGAAACACATTCAGAGGCAACAGCAATTTCCGTGTCCTGGCTGACACCCTCCTTTAAACAGTGGCTACCCTACTGCTTGTTCCCGACATCAGAAAAACCATTTTTCCAAATCAAAGGCCAAAAAGGAGATTTCCTCCCCTACAACCGGGCCTCGAGGTTTGGAAGAACTTTTAAAAACAAGAGGCTGAGATGTGCAAGGACAGGATGCAAAGGACCTCACAGTCCAACGTGGCCTCTGATCACCCCCTCAAGACCAGAGGAAAGTCTGAGGATCCTGCTAAAGAATGGATTTACAACTGATGAATGCCTTCACAGCCCAACCTCATGGGGTATGCTGCATCAATCTCCCCACCTAAGGTAACTAGAAATTACTGGCGAGCAGTGCATATAGCTGAGGTTAGAAAATGGGTCTTCACATGGCCTTATTATGATAACTGCTATTATTAATAATAGTTATCATCTATTTAGTGCTTACTGCATGCCTGGGGACTCTGCCTAGAATTTTTTTTTCTGCCTAGAATCTTAAATAGACCATTCTTACACCACTGAGTTATCATTATTGGTGACATTTTACATGAAGAAATAAATCTCAGAGAGGTTTCACAAGTTGTCCAAAGTCACACAGCTAGTAAGTGGCAGAGTGAGGATTTGAACCTACATCTTTCCTACTCTGAGGTTTCCTATAACCAGGCTATCCTGCCCGCCCTCACCACCACTCCACATATGCTTGCTACTAGTCAGTTCAGGGGTGGTTGAGGAATAATTTTAGGTCACATGAGAACAGTTTTTTCCATGTTAAGTGGTGGCATTTATTTTAGTAAGTATTAGAAAAATAAAATTAGCACATCAAATCTGTGATTTCATGAATATTGTTTCTTAGGATGAGGTTAAACTTAAGTTTAAAAGCGAGTTAAGGGTGGGCACAGTGGCTTACATCTGTAATCCCAGCACTTTGGGAGGCCAAGGCTGGTGGATCACCTGAGGCCAGGAGTTGGAGACCAGGAGTTCAAGACCTGGCCAACATGACAAAACCCTGTCTCTATTACAAATATAAAAATTAGCCGGGCATGGTGGCAGGCACCTGTAGTCCCAGCTACTCAGGAGGCTGAGGCAAGAGAATCATTTTAACCTGGGAGGTAGAGGCTGCAGTGAGCCGAGATTGTATCACTGCACTACAGCCTGGGTGACAGGGAGACTGTCTCAAAAAAATAAATAAAATAAAATAAATAAAAGGGAGTTAATACAAAAAAGAAAGAAGTTAAGTACATAAACATACAGGTGGTACCAGGATATGGCCTAGCTCATAGTCACCAATCTGTGAGTGCCCCAAGTCTGAGACCACTGATATAGCTGAACTTCCTACAGACAACCACTTGGTCAAGAAGCTGAGCTGCAGAGGACAAAAGTCTGACTTCAAAATGAAAGGGATTCAGTCCAGAGGCATCAACACCTGCATGGATTGCCAGAGAGCTGTATCTCAAAGGACGGAACAGACCCACGACCACACAATACCAGGACCCTGATATTTTTTCCCATACCACACAGGGGACAGGACCCTCACCGAGGCTGGCTCATCCCCCACCGGCCCCCATGTGCGTGTACTCACGGCCAAGGTGGCGCGGTCCCTCTCCACCAGGTCAGCCAGCTGGTGCAGCAGCCGCCCACGACTCAGGGCATCCAGCCGGCGCCATGGCGAGCCCCTCTGGAAGGCAGCCTGTGCAGCCTCCACCGCCTTGTCCACATCGGGCTGAGTGGCCAAAACAACAGAGAGAGGGTGTCATCTTTTGATGTGACTGCAGTTTGGGATCGCGGCTGTCAGTTACAGAGAACAGCAGAATTGTGCCGCTGGCAGACAGGCTGCAAGCAGCAGCAAGTTTTTCAATCACTTGAGTGGCTGGGAGCATTCAAGTGATTTTTTTCTTTTTTACATCTTAATATTTCTACAGTGGTCAAATATCATCTTAATATTTCTACAGTGGTCAAATATCATCTTAATATTTCTACAGTGGTCAAAAAAACAAAAACATTTGTTTCTGATTATAAAAAACATTTAAAAATATTTCATAAAGTCACCGACCCTGAGTATTTTTCTGGGGGACCCAAGGACGGAAAGACTTTCCACTGGCTGGCTCACCGTGAACACACACAAGCCTGCTGTTCACAGACCAGGTGGGAAATGGCTGTCCGGCATTTTATTCCAGCTGGGAACCGGTGGTCCAAGAGTGAGAATGGGGAAACATGTTCCTTTCTGGATTGCAGAACTGACCATCATGGAACAGTTCGCAGACAGGGAGGAACATGGAGGCCTTTTTTCTCCCTTCAGCCTCACTCACCCCATGGGAGCAGAACTGGATCGTTTGTGCACTGATAGCATAATCACAACAGAACCTTTTTTCTAAAAGGAAAGAAGTGAGGGCCATTTAGAGTAGTGTCATTCTTTCTCCTTCTCAGGAAAACGGGCCACATTCATCTCGAAGGCCCCTCCGTGCCTCTCTCTTTCTAGAAGGTACAGCAAGGAGTGGATGCCAGACACTAGGCAGGAGTGAGTCTACCGAGACTCCATGTGTCCAGAGCTGGCTTGGGGGTGAGCAGAAGCTTGGCAGGGGAAACGTGGGACACTAAATTTCTTGTCCCAGGCTCTGGGGTGGAGGTCAGGACCTCTCCAGTTGCAGAGTGTGGGGTGGCCTCTGGCTCAGAACAGTCACTCAGACCAAGGGAGAAATCAAGGCCCAGGGCAAGGGTCTCATTCTCCTCCCAGCATGTGTACAAGGCGCTTGGGAGTCTCCTAGTGGAAACCCCATTCCATGTCATGGCTTCCCCCCGATGCCCTCACATTTTTCTACGAGCTCCTCTGTGCCACTTTCTTTGTTAGCAGAGCCTGTCATGAGGTGCCACACAGAGGGGGGTCTGTATAGGTGCAGCCGCTGTGCATTTGCACATCTGTCACAAAACTCACGGGCAGGATAAAATCCAAGCCTACTCTGCACACGCCCTTCACTCCATCCACTTCCAACCTCATCAGTTTGCTGACTAAGAACATGAGTCCAGTGCTCCAGCCATTGAGGAAACATTTACATCTCCCTGCCCTCAGTGGAAGGGCTTTACCTCTGCACTAACATTCAAAATAGATTTAATGGCCTTGCCATGTATAAAGGACACATTCAGAAGTCCCTTAACTTCCATATTACGATATAGACCTTGCACTTGGAAATAGAGTGATAAAGGTTACCGCTTTCCATGCTCATGTAAATTTCTAGGAGAAAAGAAATCTGGTGGTTACATTGTTAACTATCCCAGCATCACCCAGGTAGCAACTATTTTTTTCCTTCAAGTCTATTTTTTTTCTAAAATGTCTCCTGCCAGAATGCTGCATTTGTTGAAATACACCAGCCGGAAATGCTTTATGGAAAGATTCTTTAATGCCTCCAGGTCCAAATAATTGAAAAAAAACAAAACAAAACAAAACAAAAAAACCTTTCCTTTAGCCATATGATGAGGATAGGTGAGGTCATCCTCATAGATGGAGAAACATCTATCAAAGGAGAATGATTCTCTGCAGAGGATCATCAGTAATTGATCCCATTCTGTGCCACATGTCTGAGAACCACATGCCAATTCATGCAGCTAGCCCAGGCCCTGCCCCTAGGATGGGCCAGTTCTATCTTATAGCTAAGCCAAACTGCTTCCTTATCCTTTGGTCATCTATAATTGAATTACTTAGAGCAACTTTTTTTTTTTTTTTTTTTTTAAAGTATTTACCTTATCTCCTTCTTCCACTTCACATATTTTCTCCAGAGTTGAAGGGTTATATGTGGCAAACTTTTTTCCACTCTTGGATTCATGCCATTCATTGTTGATAAATATCTAACCAGGAAAGGAAGTGTAACGAATTAGGTTTAGATCAAAATCATATAATTTCAACATGCTAAGGACCTTAGGTAACGTCTTATCCATCTTGTCCACCTTCCTCCCTGCTGCTTCCCTCTCTCCTTCAACATTTTATAGATGAGATCCGGAGGGGGACAGAGTCCCAGGACCACATGACCAACAGATCAACCAGGACAGACTCGAAATTCAAGTTTTGGTCAAATAAAACTAAAGTCAGTTAGAGATTTTTTCTAAATTATTATTATTTTTTCAGCAATAACATGGATTCACAGAGGAATGGCTAAGTTAAATGGTTAAATAGAGGCTGTGAATGGAATCTTATACCCTCATAGACTTTGGAAGAAGAGTCAATAGGTTTATATATATAAAAGTCCCAAGCAGTCCGCCTGCCCCTGAAGGGTAAGGACACACTGAGCACTCCCTTTCTCCTTTCAGCGGCAACACCTAGCAAGACTGATTACCAAGGAGCTCAATTTGAGGAGGATCTCACCATTACCCTTCAGTTTTCACCAATGCACATCAGCATGTTCCTCCCCAGCATTCCCCTTAAAATGTGTAATTTCATAGCAAACCACCATGGCACATGTTTACTTATGTAACAGACCCGCACATCCTGCACATGTACCCTAGAACTTAAAATAAAAGTTGATAAAATGTCAAAACAAACAAACAAACAAAAAAACCCCACAAAAACCTCCGAAGCTTGACAATAAACCAGTGTTGAAATACAAAGTTAAATGTCTGGGTTAGAAACTTTCCAGGTTACATTAAGAGATGTCACAAATAACTGTTTATATAACCCACAGAAATCACTTTTCTGGGAACCTCAGTGATCCAGAATGCAGATGAGAATGAAAATTTTTTAAACAAGATATCATGAGCAGACTAAGAAGAACATACAAACTTCATGCACTGAAACATATGTACTATTTACTGTTAGTTTACACTAAGTTCTAATCATCTTAATAATGTCACATTAAAAGAGAGGGCTTTTGGAGAAGAACTAGGAACAGACATGACAGACAATACACAAAACACATTCTGACAGCACGGAGGTCCCCGGCTGCCCAGCCAGAAGACACACAAACTCCTGCTACACCAACTTGGAATGGCTTCCTCATCACAGCCTATCACAGCATCAGAAAAACCTTTGTGGCAGAAATGGCTAACATGCATGTCTATCAAGTAAAATGCCATCAATAATTTCTGAGTACAGAGTTAGTTCATCAGGTTCCGTTTTTACCTCTATCTGCATATGGTATATACATAGCTTTACTTTACTTCTCTGTGAATCGTTTAAAGGAAGAATTGCGTCCCTCAAGGGCTAATTTCAATTATTGTGAAATTGATTCATTTGGAATATTTGACTCCCCAGTGACGACAGATGAGAGAGGGCAGCCATCTCCTAAGAATGCGTCTTGGTTACGTTCTCTGTATTGAGCTTCCTGTATAAACTCCACAGCTCGAGCTTAATACCCGGGTGATGGGTTGATCTGTGCAGCAAACCACCATGGCACATGTTTACTTATGTAACAAACCTGCGCATGTACCCCAGAACTTAAAAGTTGATAGAATGTCAAAAACAAAAAACAAAAAACAAAAAAACACAAAAACCTCTGAAGCTCATGCGTGAGGAAGCCTGGTCTGAGTCCTCTGGGGACCAAGCACAAGAGGCAGACTCTGGCTGGGCAGGTGAGCAGAGACCAGCTGCCCCCCAGTTTGGAATCCAGGACCGAGAGCATCTGTCACCAGTGGGATGTGCCTGTCTGGCTTCTGGAAGCTTAGCATCTCCAACGTGAGGCCAGGCCCCCAGGGAAGTGCACCAGGAAAAGGTCAGGCTACAATTACAGGTTTATTCTTCCAGCTGAAACTAAATCCGAGAGTTCACTTTTGCCATGCAGCAAGTCATCACTTGGTAACAGCGAGAAATTAATAACTAGGGAAGAAGAGTTAAGTTAGTGCGGGGAGGAAAGTGCAGCCAGGAAGAGGGGCCCATTTGTAGAAAGATGAAATTTCGTGGGTTAGATAATAGAGACTGTCAGTGAAAATTGCTGATTCTAGGTCCTTCCTGGTATCAATTCCAAGGGGGAGGGAAAATGAGAAGGTGGCAGAAGAGAATATAAATAAGGGGACTGAAAACAGATTACAATGATCGGATGTCTGCTATACTTCATCTCCAAGCACGCTCCTCCAAAAAAAATTACTGTTTGTTCATGACATTGATCTGTAACCAGCAACCTTAAAACAAAATCAGACTATTTGACTCTAACCGTATTTTCCTATCACTATGTTTTTAATTTTGTAAAATCTTTTTCTTTATACCACACTACAGTAGTAAGTAATCTTGTAAGTGGTTTCTACTGTTGATTTTTCTCTCCACAAAAACAAAACAAAAGCACAAATATAAGGAAAGGGTATATAAATATGGCCTACTGATTATGCTGGCTGTATTGTTCTGAACTCCAAATCAGAGTAAAGGGTCTAGAAGGAATCATTGTCTTTGATTTGTGGATTAGCATACGACAAACCTTATAGAGGTATAGCATTAAGCTACATTGAGCTGTAGACATGGTTCACATTTTACAAAAGGAACAGAATGACATGGAATCAGGACTGAGCTGTAAGGTGTCTCAGGTTGAGGTGAGATGGCAGTCATGCAAGTGAATCCTATTGATGCCAATTTCCAGTAACTTCCATCTGACAACAGGCCACTCAGCTAAACTCAAAAAGAATATGCTTTCAGAAAAGGAGATTTGGGGGAATTTTATTTTTCATAAGAGAGATAATAAAAACTGGTGTTTTAAAATCAGAAAACTTTGAAGAGAATCTCTGCTACTGGAAGAAATTTTATAAGGAAGGAAAGAGGTCCCCTAAATTAGAAGGGACTTCCATCCTCTGAGATCTGTGTGGGGACCCTGGAGGGGCTCTCAGCTCTCCAGAATCATACAGCATGACCCTAGAGAACGCAATGTTAACATGTGAGGACGAAAGAAGGGGCTTTGACAAAGTCATCCTTCTGAAAGTTAGACCACCCTGGAAATGGCACTGCTGGGGCTGGGGCTCAGATGGGCCAACGCTGGTGTGTGCCCCATTATCGAGAAGCACCGTGAGTCAGTTTTGGAAAATAGCAGACCACTGCTGGCTACCATGCTCCACCGTCTGCTCTCCTGCCAGGCCGCCCACCTGCCGGGCCACTCACCCACCCTGGGCCTCAGTCCTGAACTTCAGTTTATCCCGCTCCTTCCCTCAGCAGGCACTGTTGGTGGCCTCACTCTCGGTGGCCTCTCCTGTCCAGACTCCCTGAGGCCTGTGCCAGGGCACTGGCTGGCCACCCTCAGCCACGCAAGCTGCCTGGGTCCACAACTGCTATGGGGAGGTCTCTGCAGAGATGGGCCAGGAGCCAGGACAGAGCAGGCAGCAGCACTGTCCCCCAACGGGTGGGGAGGGAGCAGCCAGTGTGAGGCAGTTGGGGCCTTCATCGCCTGGGAGACCCCTCAAGATCCCAGCACTCCAGGCCCATCGACCACCTTCCCTCAACCTCACTCCTTCACTGGTTCCCTTTAACTGGCAAAGGTTGCGCACCCACCAAGACAACAGGCAATTACTGCTCTGTGAATTGTCTAAGATCGCCATAAGGGCTACATTTACACTTTAAAAGTGTCCTAAAAATCATAGAGAAAGAGGTAAACTTTTGTGGTCAGATTGCTGATAGGACTCAAAAACATAAAAAGTAAAAGGACCATAATACATTTACTTTCTTGTTTCTATATATAGTATTTTGAAATCCTGTACAACCAAAAGAAAACAAACAACCTCCCCACTTCACCACCCGCAGCAGCAGTCAAGCACCTAAGGCTAGGGTCTTACAAAATTAAGGTATCATTTTCACTCTTCCCAGAATTCGTGTTGGAATTTTCACTCTGAAGCTGATATTACAAAGAAAACTACATTAAGAATAATTTTCAGCGTTTAGTTTACAGCGATGTGTCTTTGTTGATTACAGAGCCTTCTGAAAACACTTAATTTAAATGTCATGTGATCAGAGGCTCAGCCGACATTGGGAATTAAGTGCCAAGAGACCTAAATCCGAAGGCCACACGTAGTGCCCTGTAACTTTCTCCGCTTGATTAACACTCTTTGAGAAAGATAATTGCTACTTCTTAAAGTAAAACGGATGAGGAAATTCTCTAAGTGCGGTGTCAGCTGGAGTTGGGGGCTATGGATAAAAGCAAAAATCAAGAGAAGCCAAAGGTGGGGAAAGTGAAGGCAATGGCTCTCGGCCTGGCCTGTGCCTCTAAAGTGCCCCAGCACCGGCCCATGGACAGAAGCGCACCCCAGACAGCCTGGGGGTGTCCTCCATTGGGTCGCGCTTCCGCACCCGGGTCTCTTGGCCCTCCTCAGCCCCAGCTCAGAGGCCTCGGAGGCCTTACCATCTTCTTTTATTCCTTTCTGCCCCAGGCAGGTAATCTCACCGTTCTGCCAACGCTCTAGCCTCCCAGCCCACAGCGCAAGGAGGCAGAGAACCGTGCGCTCCTGCGGCGCGACGGAGCCTGGCCGCTGGGCCTTGCTACCCACGGCTTCCCAAAGGCCCAGATCTGCGACTTTCCGAATCGCGCTCCTTGCCTGTAAACACCGGGACCTCTGGGCTCCGGGGAGGTTTCATCAGTAAGTGAGCACCTTCCTACTCCCCCTATTCTGCTGGTGAGCTGGGTATAAACTAAGCACGGAAGGTGCCCGATGCGCTTTGCTCAGAGGACCTGTTTCCCCAGTCTTCTAACTGCAGCTCCGCGATCTGGTTCCCGGACTCTCTCTTGGCGTTCTCGGGCACCTCTGACCTTCTCAAAGCCAGACGCGTCCACCCGGGAAATCATTCCAGGGGTTTTTGGGGAGGGAGACCACCGCGCACCTCCACTCGTGATCAAAGCAGTGAAAGCACACGTCGGGGCCTCGCAGGGATGCGTGCAGCCTGGCACCGCGCGGGCGCTAGACGGCCTCGGTTTCCCGCCTTCGAGGCTCACAGCGCCGAGCCCCGCCGCCGGCGATCCCGCCCAAGATGCCCCGCGAAGGGTGCGGTTTCGAGAGGGCCGAGCCCCGGTAGGGGCTCGGGTCTCGGGAGCGCCCGGCGGACCCTCAGCCTACTGGTCCCTCGCCCACGTCGCCCCGAAGCTGGCTGCCCAGCGCAGAGGCTGGCGGCCGTCGGGTGGGAGGGGCGCCCACCTCACCTTGGTGAACTTGACCTCCAGGTTGCGGATAGGGCGCGGCAGGGCAGGCGGCTTCCTGTCCGGCTGCCCGTTTTCCACGGCCCCGTTAGTGGTGGCCATGGCTCCTCCGCGCTCCCTGGCCCGAGGCGCCCTAGTCTGCGGCGCACCGGCTCGGCCTGGGCACTGCGCAGCCTGCTCCCGGGGTGACAGCTCCCCGCCGCTTTATGCAGCGCCCCACGCCTCCCTCCCGAGGGGGCCGTCTAATTGGCTGCAGGACCGGAGGAAGGGCGGGCGGGCTGCGGGAGGGAGGAGAGGGAAGGGGAGGGGGGCCCGCCCGCTTCACCCCACCCCGCCCGCCGCCCCTGCAGGAGCCCGAGTGCCGGCAGCTCTGCCCGCGTGCTGCGGACCGTCCCGGCTACCGCGCCGTGCGCTCTCTCGCCCTGGAGGTTGGCTTTGGACTAGCTCCCCGAAGCGCCGCCGGGCCCCGGAAGTCGCAGGGCTGGGACACCCGACCGGGCAGGGAGCTGAGCCGCAGAGGCCACAGCGCCCAGCTGCCTCCCCGAAGCCGGGCGAGCTCTTCCCGCGGCACCTGCAGCCCCCTCCCAGTCGCCGCACAGAGCGCTCGCCCAACTTCGGCCGGCTTGCAGCTCTCCGGAATGCCGGCTCTCCGCTGGGCCCTGCGCCGCGCCGGAGTCGGGGCTCCTGGCGGGGCTGCCCCGCGTCGCTGCGCACGTGCCCTGGTCTTCGGTCCAGCGGCCCGATCCCCGCTCGCAGGACAGACACCCGCTGCGCCCCACCCTGCCCTAGCGGGGACCGCCGGCTGGCGCACCCCGGCCCAGCTGGCCTGGAATTTCCCTGCGGCCCTGGGGCTTCACACGCAGTGGGGCAGAAGGCGAAAGCAAAACGCTGGACCATTCCAGCTCTACGCTGTGGAGCCCTGGCGCCGCTGGGACTCTGACCTTCACAGGCGCACACCGCCCTCCATCCCAGAGCCCTGGAGTGCAATTAATTTGGTTTTTTAAATGCATAAATTATACCTCGATTAAAAAATGATAATTAAAAAGAAAGCACATGAGATCTTTGCTGCTAATCGTTTTAAGAGTTGAAACTCTTGTCGGGCATAACTTCCCAGGAGTGGGAGGTAAGTCTAGCTCCTCTCCTTTTGCCATTTGGGAAATGCTCCATCGACCCCCAGGACTTGACACAGCCCCCATCTGAGACACGGAAGCGGCTTCTGATGCATGCCATTCCTCAGGTTGCTGGAACAAAGACGGGAGGCACGAATTCCTGACAAAAGCTGTGCTTTAATCCTCAGATAGGCTCAGGCCCTTCAGTCCATCTCTTTGTATGAGTAACCCCAAGTAATCAACAATGGAGAGGGGTCTTCTTATTTTCCTGAGACTCCTCCTGTTTTGAGGCCTCCGTGTCCGTCTCTGTCCCCTGGTGTCCTTCTGGATAGAGGGATAAGTTTTGAAGCTTTTGGAAACCCCGCATCTGTCCCTTACCCTGTGGTGGTGGAAAGTTCTTGTGCTGCTATGGCCTGGAGTGCACAGCTGAGGCCGGGAAAAGGGGATAATGGACCCTCGAACGGGGCAGCCTTGACCAGTATCGGCTGGCTAACACTGGTGAGTCTGAGCAATGCCAGCTCTTTCCTCAGCTGCTTCTGCCAAATCCTGGCCTCCCTGCCATCTTGACTGGCCCCACGGCTCCCACTTAGGTCTCCTGAAAGCATCTGGGTAGATGTGCCATGCCAGGGCCGCTGGCTGGGTGCTGAGCCCTAGCATTTGGGTGCCTGAACCCAAGAGGACCGTCAGGGTGTATCGACAAACCCTTCCTGCATAGATAGAGGCCAGGAGCCCAAGGCCAGTGGGTGCACCAGGCCCCAGGAAGCTGCAACTAGGGATGCTTTACAAACTGAACTCCCATTCTGAGACTTTATCTGGGATCCTGGATGGTTGAAATTATGTCGCTGCCAGGATTTTTTTAAGAAATCTGAAATAAAATTTATAGAGGAAATTGTGTTAATTAAATAATTTTGGATTAATGGGGGAGGCAAATGGCATTGAGCTTAGAACTCTGCTCCTTTAGGGAAGATAGTTGAGCCTGTTTGGTCAAAGACAGACAGCCACCACTTTGTTGGCTATGAAGTCAGGAATGAAAGCCACCTCACCTCACACTCAGACGTCCTTGTGACCCGAGGCGTGATCTCAGCAGCCAGTTGCAATGATGCCGACTGGCTCACCTGCAGCTCCTCCGTTTGATACCCACGTGATCCTGGGAGCCTGAGATCAGAGTGGAGCACTTAGCCATAGACTTTGTCACAGAGAGCAGATCAGGAGGATGGGCTTAGCTCTGGGCTTGTCCAGACAAGCAGGCTCTACCTCTGCTCCCATCGGCGGGAGGGGTGGAGGCAAATGTGCTTCTCCCCATTTTACAGGTGAGTAAACAGAGGCGTGCAGATACTTGTCCCAGACATCACCATCGGGGGAGAAACTAAAGCCAGACTGTGTGAGAGTGAGTGGTGCACGGCAGGGAGGAGGGGCTTTTCTGACATTCCTCTGTCCTATTCTTTCAGGCAGGTGAGCACCTATGACCCAGGGCGGTCCCATGTCATTGGGGCTGCATAGGACATAGTGAAGACACCAAGTGCTTTGAAGGTCAAAAATGGTGGGAGTATCCCTCTTCCTTGTGCCTTTCCTAGGAATCGTACCTCCTAGCTGTGGCCTCAGAGGCAGGGGCCATAGGGGCTGGAAAGGAGGAAGATTTATTTTTGCTCACAGTGTGTTGCTGGGTGTTCGGTTCGGTGGTGAGTTGCCTGAGCATCGGAGGTGGCAGAGGCCCAGCCCCTTCTGATCACATCCCTGACCTGAGTTGCAGCTATGCACCCTTGGGTTGGATATTGATCTCTCTGAACTTCAGTTTTCTTTTCCATAATCTCCTTCCCACTTTACAGTGTTTGGGGAGGCTCGAGCAAGATAAGGCTCTCAGGAAGTGCTTTATAACTTTAAAGGGCTATCACATACCAGCTCTTCATTTTCGTATTCTTCCTGGAGACTGGTTCCTCTTTGCTGGCTTTTCTTCTTGGAAGTCAGCAAGTTCCCCCCACTTGTCTCTGGCTTGCTGGAGCTCCCCAAGTCAACAGTCCCTCTGCTCATTTCATTGTGAAAAAGTATTTATTCATTTTGTTTTCAGCTCCGTGGTGCTGCTGTTGTCTGCTGCTTGTCTTATTGGTGCATCAAATGAGCTGAGTCCCGGACATGTCACGTTGCAGGCTTGTTTGCAGATGAACACTTAGTAAAAAGAAGCATGAATAAAAGACTAAGATAAAACAGAAGTCAGGTGGTCACCCCCTAAGTTCAACCTCATTTCATTTTTAAACCCATAATCATTTGTGGGTGATGTTGGGGTCTGAAGCAAATGTAATGAATAATGATGATGATATTGATGGACCCCCTGCTGTGTTTCATGTTATTTCAGATCTGGTACCTGAGCCTTGTGGAGAGATGCCCAGGTCTGCTGAGCATCCCTTGTGTCCCCACAGCCTCTGGTCAGCTGCAAAGCTGCCTCTCCCACCCAGTCTGCTCACCTCCCTCATTGTCGTGGAGTTGAGGCAGGGGCCTGGGACTTGGGTGTGCATTCTGAACCCCTTCCTAGAGAGCCAGGCCCCTGGGCTGAGGGTAGTTTTTTGATGTAGGGAAGCCCAGTCACCCCACTGTGTAGCTCTCAGGCCAGCTCTTGGGTGACTCAGGGAGGTGACCTAACTTCAGGTTTTTTGGCTATAAAATGAGGGTGGCCTGTGCCCCTGTGGTGAGGGAAGGTTGACTTCACTGTGAGCACCTCCCTGCTGGTATCAGTGAAGTCAATTCCATGTTTCATGTGAGTCATTCGGTGTTGCCTTAAGCTGACTAGAATAGGCAACTACTTACCTTTCAAGCTTACTATAAATTAAGACCCATCAAATACTACAATATTGTTCTGTCCTCAAGGGACACACAAACAAATCTTTTTCCCTGCGAGTTTCCATCAGTGATTGATTATATGGAGGCAGGAGCACCCCAGGTTGGAGAAAGAGGAGCTGATAACACCCAAACACGGTGAAGAGAAAGGAGCTGCCAGCCCACCACACAGCTCCTCCAGCTGCTTTCTCTCCAGCTCTGCCAGTCCTTTCTGGTCCTGGGGAAAGCCTTCCCCACACAATATTAGGCTGAGGCAAATCAGTCTTAGACCAGGCAGAAGCAAACAGAGAACTCATTACATAAAAGCAAAGAGGACACATCATGGTATTTGCAGGTCAGCCTCAGTGCAGCCATACACACACATGCACACCATATACATATACACACATACACATGCACGCACACGTGCGCGCGCACACACACACACACACACACCCCGCCAGTTCACAGCTGCCAGAGCTTTCCCCTTGGTCTGTCTTCCAGTGGATGAGAGTTGTGGCCCAGCCAGGAGAGAGCATGGAGGGTAAGGTAGAAAGAGCTAGTTGAGTACCCGATAGTTCTCCCCTTTCTTGCCAGTGGAATCCCATGTTATCGAAGGTGGCAATTGGCTTTGATAAAACCTATTTCCCAGCCTTTCTTGCAGATGGGTGGTTAAAGAAGTATAAGCTGAAGTTTTTGGTTTGGGCTTCCAAAGAAGCTCTTAGGCATGGTGGCTCATGCCTGTAACCCCAGCGCTTTGGGAGATGGAAGTGGGAGGATCATTTGAGGCCAGGAGTTCAGGACCAAAGAAGCTCTTTACATGGGACAGAGTCAGCTGAAAAGCTCTTATTCCTTTCTGCTGCCTGGAACATGGACATGAGAGCTGGGTCTCCAGCAGCCATCATGTAACCATAATGCAATTCTGAAATGCAAATTCCATGGTAAGGAAGTTGGAAGAAATACTTAAGAAGAACCTGGGTCCCTGATGGCCCTGGAACGAGCCTTTCATCCCTGGATATTTTTTCTTGGATTTTTTTTTCATGTGAGCAAAACAAAAATCCCTGTATTATTAAAGCCCGCCATTTGGGTTTTCTGTTATATGTGGCCGACTTAATCCTAACCAGCATAGCTGGCTGTTGGCCATTGCTATGACAAGAAAAGCAAACTTTTAAACTCACGTGGAATAATGATCTCATTTTTGTATAAGCAGAGCAGCACAGATATAAAAATCTTATCACCATCTCTGTTATTTTTGACCTTAATCAAATAACCTTGATGTGCTGTGCTCAGGCTTATAGTATATTAAAAAACAAAAACGAGCTCTGGGATGGAATAAATGGAGCTAGCTTATTGATTCATTCGCAGCTTTAATTGCCTAAATTGGATGGTTGGATGATGAGGTCCTACTAGGGAAGAGAATCTCTTTGGTACAAAAGCCCCATGGAGCTGCCATCCTCTGGTGCCCATAGGTGTTAGCTGTGTCCTCACATCTACTGAGGAAGGCACCAATACTCAGAGAGATTGAGTGACTATACAAGTCCCTGGGCCACCCAGACCTGGAAGATACTTGGTCAGGCCAGCACTCAACCCCGGCAGCAAGAAGTCAGACTTTGTTTTAAAGTAAACAAAATGTCACTCCATATAATCACTGAATTTTGCTCATAATACTTCACATCTCTCAATACCACCACCAGCCATTCTCAGTGACGTGAGAAGTTGTTTGCAGACTTTCCAATCTCCTTCAAAATTCAAGAATTCTGAATTTTGAACCACAATTTTTGGGGTTTCAGTTCAATTTACTGCAGATAAAACATACTTCCTGGTTAAAAGGAAAATTGTTTCAGGGGGCTTACAAAAGAAAGGGTTCAGGAAGATTCTTGAACACAAAGTGGTTCTTGCTAAATAATTGTACTGAGATAAGCCTAAGAAAATCAGAAACATACATATTGAATTTCCCTTGAAATTCACATGGGTATAACACTGTCAGGAAAGAGGGCTTAGCAACATACATTTTGCCAAGCCCAAAATGTTTGAAAAATAATTTGAGTATGTTAAGGTTTGGCGAATCACTCTTAGGTTCTTCTATCCTAGTCCCACAGTGACAAGACTTTCCCCCTGCCCTTTATCCAGGACCCCCTGTAAAGGAGCATTAGTTACCCAAGAATCTTCCCTTGGATTTTTGCCATTATGTGAGTCTTGGGGTGGAGATCAGAGTGGGGAATAGAGGGGTTGTTAGAATCTGTGTACTCATGAGAATGCCTGGGGATCCTCTTGCAGTTGTGTCTTTGTGGAATGAGAGTTACTCAGGCAGCACTCTTGAGGTTCCCCTGTAATCAGAAAGCTTCTATAAAGCACATCATGTCTTATAACATGTTTAGGCAGACAGGAAGCCTGTTATGTATGTAGCAGACGGGAAACCTATTTATGTATATTTTCATCTAGTTTCATATGGCATTGTGGTGATTCTAAAACACTCCACCCCCAAGGGAATGGATTAATTAGTGACCTATAGTGTTTTCATATTTATAATGTTCTTTATTATTGAGCATGTCTGCAAGCATTGAGATTGCATTACATTACACTTCATTATACATTGCATTGTATTATATATTATATTATTTGCAAAGATAGTTTATCAATTAAGAGACAATGAATTGGATATGGTATATTTTCCACCAGTGATAGCAAATAAACATGAATATTAGGAACAAAACATGGGATTATAGACTTTATAAGGTGCACGCAAATATGCATCTTCTAAATTCCATGGATATTTCAGCTATTATGAATTTCAGCGCATTTTTTTTCAATCCCAGGAAGTACTAAGCTTTTGCACCTGCTTACAATGTCCAGCGATTTCACTGCACTTCTCCCGTTGGCCACTAGATGTCACAGGACCAAGTTGAGTAGGAAGTTGCCACTGAAGTTTGTTCTATGCGAGAAGCAGGTATTTCCTAACTTAGCAGTAAATGGCAGTGCAAGAGCTTGTTGACAGCACAGTGCCCAAAACTTCAATTGCACCACAGAAACATGATGCCAGAATTGGTGATTAGTGCCCAGGCTAGCCCACAAAAGCCTACTCGCTTCTCCATAAGCCTAAAATGGGTTCCTAGCTTTGAGATCAAACAGATGTGGGTGCTGTTCTCAGCTCAGGGAGAACTTGGGCCTAATCTTTTTGAGCCACTACTTCTTTTTCTGAAGATGGAAGTAATAATTCTTGCTCAGCAAGGGATTTGTGGGGGTAGGTGAGAGTGGAGGTGCGACAAGTACATTTGCAAGGAGATAGACAAGACCTCACTGCTGCCTGACTCTTGATGAAACTCACAGAAAGCACCACCCAGAACCTTGTCCTGCTGGCTGTGAGGCATTGCCCCTGACCTGGCTGCTCTCTTGGGCCCTGGGTGCCCACTTCATCCCCATCCCTTCCTATCCCTCTCACAGACAAGACAACCCAGGACCCTCCAATAGAAATTTTCCAAGGAATTGCAAAAGGATAAATAACGGCAAAGGATAAGTGTGTATGATCCTAGGAGTTTAGCCTTGCAGGCAGGTAGACTGGGAAGGATTCCTGCAGGGCATTTGCCAGCCTCATTTTGTAATCTCCCTTGGTCACAGATTCCTTGTCTGTAGAAGATGGTACCTCCTTCATGGGATCAGAAACGCAACTGAGATCGCTGATGTGACAGGGCCAGCCCTGCCTGGCGTATGGTGGATGCTTGGTTTATGTCACTTGAGAGACTCTCTTGCTAGGGGGATGGGATGGACTTCAATCTCCTTTTTCAGCCCTGGCCAAGAAACCTCCAGCTGGGTGGGCAGCTTCTCAACCCTTCTAGAACCTTCTTCCTGATCTTCTCTCCGATCTATGCTACAGGTGGCTTTCAGCAGCTCCAGACTCTTCTCTGGCTGATGCCAGGCTCCATTCCCCCAACACCCATCCCTTCTTTTGTATTTATGCTTCACCGCAACATTGCAGACACTTTTGGGGCTTCTCCTAGGAATCTATCTGGCTTTGGGTTTCTGAACACCCAGCTCTGCCCTGACTTGCTTTTCTCTCTCCTGTTTCATTAGCCATGTATCAGGTCTGATTCTTCTCAGTCTTTTTACTTTCTTCCTCATGCTGCCTCTCAGGCATTGGTGGGGCACTGGCAGCACTGTGTAGACAAGGATCTTGACTCTCATCAGAAGGTCCTGATTGATTAGTGATGTCTGCCGTGAGCACAGGATGCAGGCAAGCCCTAGAAACTGGCCTTGTCACAGGGTGACATGCGCAGGAGTCACCAGGGATCTTGTTGACAGGCAGGTTGCATTCATAGGTCTGATGTGGGGCTCAGGGTTCTGCCCTTCTAACAAGCTATTAACAAGTATCTAACAAGCTACTAACAAGTATTTAACAAGCTACTAACAAGCATCCTTCCTAGACTGGCAGCATCAGCATTTACTGGGACCTTGATAGAAATGCAGACTCCCAGGCCCTACCATAGACTTATTGAGCTGAAATCTGCAGGTTAACAAAAGCCTCACCCAGGAGCTTCAAATGCACGTCACAGTATGAGAAGGGCCACCAGGCTCTGGTCTGGCTAATACCTGGCCTCTTAGGAAAAACAATCCCTGCCCCACCAAAAGCTCACCTTCTCAGAATGGCTGAAACAAGCTCTTCTTTTTCTTTCTCTGTTTATTTTCAGGGTGGAGATGACATCACTTTCTACTATGAGACCAAGGATAGCCCAATACTGATCCCAGCCAAGATCCCAACTACCCCCACTCTTTAGAGGCTCCTTACAGCTATACCCAAGGAAATGGCTTTGAAGGACTTTAATCAACACACTTTTATAAGATGAGAGTCTAGAAGTACCAGGGCAACACTATTAACAAGAGGTTGTACCTTCATTATATTGCATGCAAATTGCTGTTTATACTGCTCTTGAATTCTGGGGCTTGAGGAAGACAGGCTTACTAGGATGGGATATATACTTTGGGGAGGAAGGAGGGACCCTCTGTGCACAGTGTAAGTTAGGCCCTGTGCCCATCAGAGAGGCTGCAATGAATGTTACCAGGCGAAGAACCCCACTTTGGGATGTGAGGCCCCAGGGGCAACAGGGCACGACAAGGTGTTTCCCCAGAATGACTGAAGGGGGACATCAAAGGGACGAGTGTGGACAGTGGACAGTTGAAGCAGGCAATGGGAAGGCAGAACTGGGAGATGGCCCCAAGCCTCAGGTTGGAGAGGTGAGGCAAGGGCAGGGTGGGGCCTTCTACGTGGGCTCAGAGCAGCCGCCCTGACTCAGGCTGAGTCGTTTGAGATGAAGGCTGCGGGCGAGCTGTCTCAGGCACTCAGCCCCACCCGGTAGTGGCCCAGGCTCTTCCGTGAGATCATTGACTTCAGGAGTTGTGCATATTCGAACTCAGGAGGCGGCCACATTATTATATACATATGATTTTGTAGACACAGAATTATAATGATGTATTTATTTCTGTAGTTCTTCTTTGACATCGGTCTTCTTTACTAGACAAAGCTCCAATTTATGTTATGAACTGAGAGAGATTCAGTAGCTAGTTCCAGGTTCCCTGGCTCCATCACTTGCATCTCTAACCACTGGGGTACCTGGTGGAGGTTTCTTACCCTCAGCTTCCTTCTCTGCAAAAGTGGGTGGCTTGGCAGTGCACAGCTATGGGGACAGCATGATGTCACTCTGCTGGGATGTTAAAGAAATGGACCTCTCCAGGTGTGAGTGTTGGTGCTGGTGCTGGTGCTGGCTGGGTGTATGGTCACCCTTCAGCTGCTCAAGGAGGTTTGAGCAGCTACGGCGCATTTATTGGCCAAGGTTAGGCTTGTGATTGGGCCCAATGGAATGGAATGGAAAACTGACTAAGGGAAGATAAACTTTTCTGTGATACCCGAACAAAGGAATACCTTCTGAAGCAGAACTAACTAAAGCATGAGGAATGACCCGGAGAATGAAGGAATAGGAAGAGTGCCACACCACTCTTCTGCCCACTCCCAATCCCCTTCCACTCTGAATCAGCTGCCCCCGCCCAGTAAGGCCTCCCATGATCTCCCTCTACGCTGCCTCGGTGCTGGCTGGCCAGGGTGCCCGCTGTTGCTAAAACAGAATCACTCACTTCAACTCAGGGCCTTTGTGATCACCACTGCTCCTGCCTGGAGTGCTCTTTTCCTGAGATCTTTGCATGACTGATCTCTCCTCATGAAACTCTCAGCTTAAATGCTGCCTCCTCAGAGAGGCCTCCCCCGACCAGTCTGTCTGAAACCCCTCCCACATCCCGCATCCCATTCTGTCATCTCTATGGCCCTGATTATACATTTCCTCTTCGTTTGCTGATGGATTCCTGATTTGAGAACGTAAGCGAAAATGCAGGGGACCCTCCCCACCCCGACACCAGCCACCAGGTGGCGTCATTGACCCAGGACAGCTTGGTACTTACTATTGCAAGGGGCCCCCAAATACTCAAAATTGGCACCCTCACCAACTGGGAGTTGGATAGTTTATTAGTAGATCTGCAGTGACTGCATCAGGACTAATAGTCTTTCCAGAACAAATTAAAATGAGACTTTAGGTTGGTGTCATAAAAAACAAGTTCTGCTTGTTTTCCCACCCATGCCTGGGACGTTTATAGATGAAGTAACCCTGTCAGTGCTTAGCATAGTGTTGTATCCCTGGTGGAGACCAGAGAGATCTCCAAAACCTACATCTTTAGAAACTCTGCACCCATGGCACGAGCGTGTGTCCGTGGCTATGGAGTTAGCTGTTAGCTAGCGTGGAGGAGCCCAGGCCACCTGACTCCCAGCCTGGGATGCCTTCTTTCATGCCATGCAGAAACCCATGACCCCAGGCCTGTGCCAAAGCACCCTCTTGGTTTGTATCTTGTAAGAGGTAGAATGTTTAATCCTGAACAGGGTGGACTTCTGGTAAGCCAAAGGGTTTTTTGCTCAGTTACAAAACATTCTGGGAGCTAGGCACTATAACTACAGAAAAATAAGACATCCCTCAAAGAGTCTGTAATGTAATTGGGAGAATAACTATGTCTGGTAGAATAATGAGTGATGAATTCAAGATGTTAATGACATCCTGGAGAGGGAAGAGTAGAGGTAGGAGAGGGTCCTCTAGGGTATAGGGAAGATTTTTCAAAAGAGGGAAATGTCCAAGATCGTGTGGTTGGGCCTCTGTGTTGTCACTGTATTTTGGCAAAATAAAAGCTGGCAACATTGGTACAACCATACTGAAAACTCCAGGGAGTTCCAGCTTTGCAGCTGGGTGAGACCGTGCTGACTGTGCTGGGGCCCTGGGGCTGGGAGTCTGATGGCCCATCATCCTGTGGTTCTGCCATTTCTGCCCAGTCCTCGCATCTCCAGCAGAAGGTATTTTTAGGGTGTGCTTTAAAGATGGACAACTCCTCAGAGAGTCACCAAATGGCTTCAAACTGAAAATGCTGAAAGTAGGCTTGACTTTGCTGTTGCTAGGTAGTATCCTGCCTCTATGTTGGGACACAAAATAAAGGCCACTAATCTTTTTGAGGTAGTAGAATTCCTCCCGAGGTGGGTGGGAGAGCATTCACACCCCCACCTGTCTCCTTCCATCTTACGTTGGTGCTCAGGAAGCTGCACTGTCAGGCTGTGTGGCACAACCACGTGGGCATGTTGTATTTGGAGTGTTGGTCTCAAGAGGGAAGACATTTTTGGTTATGCTTTTCTTTTCTTTTTTCTTTTTCCTTTTTCTTTTTCTTTGTTTTTTGAGACAGAGTCTTGCTCTGTTGCCCAGGCTGGAGTGCAGTGACACAATCTTGGCTCACTGCAATCTCTGCCTCCTGGGTTCAAGTGATTCTCCTGTCTCAGCCTCCCAAGTAACTGGAACTACAGGCATGTGCCACCACACCCAGCTAATTTTTGTATTTTTAGTAGAGACGGGGTTTCTCCGTGTTGGTCAGACTGGTCTCGAACTCCTGACCTCAGGTGATCTGCCCACCTTGGCCTCCCAAAGGGCTGGGATTACAGGCGTGTGCCACCGCACCCAGCCTGGTTATGCTTTTCTTAAAATGTAGTTTGCAGCCATAAGCTAGTCCATAGAACTATCTCCATTTTACTTTGTATATAGGGACTCATAAGCAAACTTACTTTTTATCCTTAAATGGTGTAGGACTTTTTATCTATTACATGGATTAAATAGGAAAAATGTTTGAGGTAGGTGGCCTGGCACACATTGTCTGTAACAGATACTACTTACCTAGAGGCCCCTCTCATCTAGCAACTTCCTAGCAATCTAGCAATGATCTAGCAACTTCCTTTTTGCTAACCTTTGTGATTGAAGAAACTTATTTTTGGTAACTTTCCCAATCCACAAAACCAATCCCATTTTAAGGTGGGAAAGTGTAGTGTAACAATGGGATCACTGTTTTTTTGTTGGTGAGATGAAAATGTTTAAGCTTGGCCCTAACACCAGTTGCTATTGAAAGGTACTGCCTTGTACAAAATAACAAATCAAATCCCAAACTGTCTGTTTATGGTTATTACGGTTCACTTCATTAAGCCATAACTCTGATTACATTCTTTCTCCTGCCCTACCCTGAAGGCTGAGCTCTGAGGCCAGGGGGCTGGGCCTGCTCTTCTCTGGGAACTGCGTGTCCAAAAACATATTTGGGCAAAATGGATGAGTTGTGGACAAAGGGAACTCTCAGACTTTCAGGGGACCTTACCTGAGGGGCTCCTTCTGAGTTCTGGAGTCATGCTCCCCTATCCTGAGCACCTTGGCTCTTGAGACCCTGGGTTCCTGTTGCACCTGCAGAGATTCAGGTGAGAAATCTCTGGTTGGAGAAGGTAAGGTACAGGTGTGAGCTTGTTTTAATCTGAGATAATAATGCACAGACTTTCAAAGAATGAGATGGAGTGAACAGAGAGAAGCCCACGGTTGTGGGTACGGAGTGTGGATGTCCCTGATCCTCCGTGTGTCAGCCCATCTGTTAAGTCACCTTTCATCTTTGTGACATTTTCCCAGGGCCCTCTCCTGCTATAAACGACTTATGAAACACATGAATTAGAGACCGTCCTCAGCCCTACGCATGCAGCCCTTGACAGTGTGCTCTTTGGGCAGAGTTCTGGCCTCAAATGCACCTTCAGGAGCATTCCTTTGCTCAAGAGGCTGAGTATGGAGGAGGAGAGAAGACAGGCAAGGGAGGTGGGTTGCTCTGGGTTCCATCCTCACCCTCAATGGTATGGGGCCTTCAAGCTCTTTTGCCTCTTTCTTGGCCTCCTCGCCTATAAAATTCAGTCACACCTATTCATGGGGCAGCAGCTAGTCCCTGGTGATGGGCTCCACGAATGGAGCCTCCTGGTGTTCATGTCTCTGTATGGTCCCCGGCTATGCTAACTCTGGGTTGGCCCTGCTGCTGCCTGAACTAGAGTGCTGAGTCATGGCGGGCCAGTTACAGGTCTGATCTTTGGGAAGCTCGGCAGCTTCTGCCTCTCTACTTGTGGGGGCCTGAGCCTCCATGTAGGAAGTCCAGGTAGCCTTCAGGAGAGACCACATGGAAAATCCAGGTGCAGAGGGAGAGGCCCTAGCACCCCAAGGAGAGACAGGCCCAGGTGTCCCAATGTCCCGACTGAGCCCAGCCTCCCAGGCACTCCTGCCAAAGCTCCAGGGAAGTGAATGCAGTCACTCCCTGCATTGGAGGTCCAGCCACTGCCACCACCTGACTGCAGCTGGGCGAGACCCTAAACCAGACCAGCAGAGGGACCCTCTAATTGAGCCCCAATGAACCCTTAGAATAATGAGAAATTCAAAAAATGCCTGTTGTTTTAAGCCCTGAGCTTGGAGGCAGTTTGCTATGCAGGGATAGATCACAAGACATGGGCATACCCTAAAGTGAGGAATGCCAGCTGCCTGCTCCACCCCCACAGTGAGGTCCGAAAGATTTTCCGTTAAGTCTCAACGCAGCTCCTGGCACATGGAGGGTGCTCAAAAATAGCTGGTTTTCTTATAAATAAATGCAAACAGGTGGTTTTCCCTCTGTGGTGCCCTAATTAGTCTAAACGCTGACTTCTCATGGGCCCTGGCTCCTGATATCCTTAAATCTTTTTTTATTTTTTATTTTTTATTGAGATGGAGTCTAACTCTGTCACCCAGGCTGGAGTACAGTGGTCCAATCTTGGTTCACTGCAACCTCTGCCTCCTGGGCTCAAGAGATTCTCCTGCCTCAGCCTCCTGAGTAGCTGGGATTACAGGCACATGCCACCACGCCTGGCTAATTTTTGTATTTTTGTAGAGATGAAGTTTCACCATGTTGGCCAGGCTGGTCTCGAACTCCTGACCTCAAGTGATCCACCCACCTTGGCCTCCCAAAGGGCTTGGATTACAGGCATGAGCTACTGCACCCAGCCCCCGATATCCTTAAATCTTGTTAACTCCATGGAAGGGGGCTTCAGGCGTGCCAGCCCATTGGCAGAGCCATGTTGCAGGGGCATCTCATTCAGCAGACATTTACAGGCCTGTTCTTATGTGCCAGATGCCACGCCAGGCACTGAGGCTCCTGCAGACGACACTACAGACCAACCACTGATCTCATAGCTGGTACATGGCGGGGAGAAGACAGACATGGAATGAGAAGCTGTAAGTGTGAGTAGTGGTATGGAGAAGTGCAGAAGGGGGAGAGCTTACTTCGGTTTAGTTCAGCTGCAAGTGACGAAGACTAGAAACAACATCACTTAAAGAGGATACAGGTTTATTTTCACCTAAGAGAAATACAGCCTTGGGCAGTCTAGGACTGACAAGGCAGCTCCACAGTCACTCATCAGAGTCTGATGTCTTCTTTCTTTCTGCTCAGCCCTCTTAGCTTGCAATGTCCATCCTCACATTGGTCCCAAGATGGATGCTGGAGCTCCAGCCATCATAGCCACATTCCATGGGGGAAGGGCAAAGAAGAAAGTTCGCCTCCTGGTTTAATTATCCCCCTTTCAAATAACTTTCTCTGAGGCATCCTCTACCCTCAAAGTCTTCTGCTTACACCCACTTGGCTACAGATGTCTGGAAACTTGGGAAATGTAGTGCTTTAGCTGGACCTATTGCTGCCCCAATAATATAATGGTCTGTCAGTCAGGAAGAAAGGGGAAAAGGTTTTGCTTGACAACTGGCATCCTCCACCCCAGGGACCACTCCGAAGCGCAGAAGTGACATTTTTCAACAGAAAGAAAGTTTGAACCAATTAGATAAAGAGCATTAAGATGCAGAGACTCAACCCCCACAGAAAACCCAAAGGTGAGAAATCTCATGAATCCTTCAAGGAATTCACAGGAGTCCAGGGTGAACCTCTTCCCTCTCAATGTAATTCCCTCATCTGTTTAGCAGGAGCTTACTTTAGCTTAGAATCTGGGAAAACATGAGTCTCCCCTCCCACCATGAGAAGAAGCTGAGGTTACCATTCACCTTTGGGACTGAGTGAGTTTCCACTTTTCCCTGAGAGCAGACTTGACAGATGAGGGACATGGTGGAGCTGGGGCTCTGAGACATAAAGCGGGGAAAAGGGGAACTCTTGAAACAAGGAGAGATGGATCCTTGCCTTCCTCTTCTGGGTTGGGGGGTCCAGGGGACTCCCTGAAGCAGCAGCTAGGGAGGCTACAGCCGTGAGACTTCTGGCAACTTCCAGGAGGACCCGGCATGCTGCTCTGTTTGCTGATTTAGTCTAGTAAGTGCATGAAATAGTATTTTGAAATTACAATCTCCTTAGCTCTGGGGTCTATAGCAATGACTCCTCGAAATTCCTTTTGTTCTGATCTCACACAACAATTCAGCATGTGAGGGGGTCTGAAGGGAACTCAATTAGAAATGCAGGCTAGATACATGTTGTTTCCTTTCTCTTTTTCTTTCTCTTTCTTTCTTTTTTTCTTTTGCCTTTCAACAGCTGGGGCTTGCCAAGCCCACTTCAAGGAAAGGGGCTGCATTTTCAGTTAGCCCTGTTTTCTGGAACTGGTGGGAACGTCTTCATTTTTTCAGGTTTCCGCCTGTGGTTACCTTGCAAGGCTTCTCAGCCAGGCCCTGCGTGTCCCCTCTCCCGCTGCATCCCGGCTTCCCCTGGCTGGATTCCCTAGCGCATCTGCTGTGGGCTGGGTGCCCAATCGTTTTCCATTAATGCCTCTGGACAGAGAGGCCTACACAGCTGCACAGCTTGTGACGCAACGTACCCGACACATATACTCCCTGCCTGTCCCCGGCCAACCCTGGCCAGAGAGCCATCGGAAACTGGTGTTTACTGGGAAGTGATTTGACTTTGTAACACGGTGACCACAAGCCCCATTCCACTGGCCGACATGGTCCCAAATATTTCCTTCTCTCATGAACTTCCCATTCCCCCTGCCCCCACAGTTGCTGTTTAGAAAAGTGTGGCTCAGGAAGGGGAGGAGAAAGTGGCAGCCTCATAATCTGGGAACGAAAGAGTCTTTGCACACTGTCATTAGAGGTCTGTACATATTGGACAAAATGTTGCTCTCTTGAAAAGTGAGTTATAACTCCTTAAATTTGCCCAGTCAGGATCTGACTCTCGTTTCTTAGAAGGCATTACATCGCTTTAATATGCAACAGTCTAACATAACATTAAATCATTTTTAAAAGTTTCATCTAGTTGATCCTGAGCCAAGGTATTCTTGGGTTGGGTTGCACATCCACCCTTTTGTTTTTTATATGGTTAAAAAGAAACACACGACAAAATACCTATCAAGTGATCTCACCCTTGCTGGTGTCCAAGAGTGATCTCTTGGCTCAGTGGGTCTCTTTGGTTTGTAGGGGCCCCAAAGGATGGCTTCATTTTCAAGACCAGCGAGTATTCTATGTGTGCCCACCACACACACCAGACTGCAGTGTGTGGGGGTGGGAGGAGGTGCCTGGGCCAGGTGCAGAATGGAAAAATCATGGTTTTCCAGGGATGCCAGGGACTTGAAGAGAGAGAGGCTAAGCCAGAGCTGGGAGGAGAGCAAGTGCTTTTGCCCTTTTTATAAGAGATGCTTCAGCAAAGCCTTCACCACACACATCCTCCATTTCCCTTCCACAAAAGGGGACCACTCTTTCACTGTGGCCCCACGTGAGGGCTGCTCTCCTGGGAGTCTTTGTCCTAACTCCTGCACCAAATCTTCTCCTTTGTTTGTCCTCCAGACCATCCTTGGAACCTTTCTTTATTTGTTTGTTTTTGAGGAGTATTGCTCTGTTGCCCAGGCTACAGATTATGTTGATCAGTGCAATAGTGTGATCTCAGCTCACTGCAATCTCTGCCTCCTGGGTTCCAGCGATTCTCCTGCCTCAGCCTCTTGAGTAGCTGGGACTACAGGTGCACACCACCATGCCTGGCTAATTTTTGTATTTTTAGTAGAGACGGGGTTTCACCATGTTGGCCAGGCTGGTCTCGAACTCCTGACCTCAAGTGATCCACCTGCCTTGGCCTCACAAAGTGCTGAAATTACAGGCATGGGCCACTGCACCCAGCCTCTGTGGAACCTTCAGCCCTCAGTCAACTCTGCTTGGGTTAGACTTGGGTGTTCGAATGCCTGTCTCCCCACAGACAGTAAGAAGGGAGCCATGTCTTGGTCACCCAAAGATCTTGATGGCCTTCCAGTGTCCTTTGGTGACTCAGTGAATGCAGCAGAACCCCTCATATGGAGCTGGGGAAGATGGGGAGATGTCACTTCCATTGCCACCTCCCGCCTCCTGCCCAGTGCTCGGCCCAGCCCCACAGCCCCCAACCCCCAGGATCCCCACTTCTCACTTACTGACTCCACTCCTGCCCAGGCCTTGTCCTGCTGGCCTGGGGATTCCCCCAGCTCACCTTGGTTCTTCAGAATATGTAGTGGGGGTGGTAGAGATACATGTAGGGATATCTGGTAGGTGTGACAACATCCTTCCAGTCTCAGCCACCTCCAGAAGCTGCCTACGCCCTTGAGACTAGGTGATGGTCGGGTGAAGGAGGAAGTGGTTAGGGAAGCAGAGACCCAAATGGCTGCCTGAGGGGATAGAATCTCCCGGGAGCACTCTGAGGACTCACTGGATAATCCACACTCTGTTCTCCTCCAGGAACCTGGGCCCTCGAGAGCCCCCTCCTGGAGCCCGTGGATGTGAGCCACCCTGGCCTCTGACCCGATCCTGGACACGTCTAGCAGGGCTGGCACCAGCTGCCCCCCAGCAATCCACGAGCCGACTCCAGCCGCCGGGGGCCTGTGTTGCAAGCTGGGTCTCTTCCTGCTGTTGCTGGGCCTGGCCTCTCCTCCCCAGTCGGCTTGGCTGTTCTGGAAACAATGACTGTGGACAGAAACGACTTCTCATGGGGGTTTTGGAAACCCCGGCTGGGCATCAGCAAACAGCTTTTGCACAGGGCAGTGGCTCCCGAGGAGACGCAGAAACGCTGGGAGGCTGGAGGGGAAGTGACAGAGACAATAGGAGGCATTGTGTCTTCTCCCAGGAAGCTCTGCTTTGCATTGCTTCCAAGAAAATTGACTCTGGGGCAGCTCCATCTATTCCAAAGCAACAGCTTTATGTGATTATGTTAGTCCCAGGCTCGGACAAATGCGCCCTTCCTACCTCATTAACAATGCCAGCAGGGCCCAGCTGTGCCATGGGGGGCTCCGTGCCCTAATTCATCAGGCAAGGCTGAGTGTAGGAAGTCATAAGAACAATGCATCTTAGAGCAGAAGCTGTCTGTGGAGGGAGTGCAGCTTTGATGTAGGGCATGGCCCTGATTAGGGTTGACGGCTAGGGATGGTCCGTGCTCGGGAAGGTGGCATAAGCCCGGATGGCATTTGGGATGTGGGGTTTTGCACCTGGGTCTGTTGAAGTTTGATGAAGTTTAACACGTGCAAACAGTGGCTTTTGTTCTGCAGGACAAAGGCCTTCCTCGACCTGGGCCCAGGCTGAGACCTTGGTGGTGGCAACGTTTCCTCCCCGTCGCCTCTTGTCACTCTCCTTGTGGAAGTTTAATTAGGACAACGAGCTTTCACAGGCTCATTTCTCACTCCAGCAACTTTCTAACACTTCCTAACGAGGAGGCTGGAGCCTGAGGACTGTGGGGCAGAGAGGGGGCTGTGGGGCTGGCCAGAAAGACCGTTGAGGGGACTGGGAGGGGCTGGGGAAGAGGGGGTGCGTGGAGAGGAGCAGAACAGGCACAGAGGAAGCACAAAACCACAGTGGGTCCCTGGAGAACTGTGGATTGATCTGGGAAGAAGAGAAAATAAAACAAATCCTAACTGGTCTTTGTTTTCTGGGTGGCCAGACAGTAATTTCCCCAAATTCTCTATGGTTCTGGAAAAGAAAGCAAAGGATCAATCACTGTTGACTTTGTGGCCTTCAGAACTGGATCACATGGGCCGTTACTTAACACCTTAAACTCCTCTTCCTGCCATGCAAGCCTTTCCCATCCACTGGGTTCTAAACAGAGAGGTTGTGATGACCTGGCCAAGCTCCCAGCCCACTCCTGAACCAGGCTCCACACTTTTTATCCAGGTGTGGACATGGTGGAGTGCCTGGGTAGGGGACGGGGAGCCCACATCAAGGGTGTGATCCTGCTGACCTTGATGGAGATGCTGGCTTTCTTGGGCCTAAAGAGCATGAAGAACTGCGGGTGGAGGGACAGAGGATCCCTGTGTATCCTCACCTGCATCAGTCAGTATAGTTCAGGTTGTGCCACAGTAACACCCAAAATGTGGGTGCTTAAAGACCACATGGCTTGTTTCTTCTGCTGCTACATATCCATGGTGGGTCGGCTAACAGCTCTGCTCCACATCACCCCAACCCCCGGCCTCATTATTTAGAACACTGGCAATTGGTTTGATAGAGGGAGAGAAAGAGGTTGGGAGGGCACACTGGCTCCTGAAGTGCCCTCATGGGGATGACACACCCCAGTCTTGCTCAATTTCAAAGTTGTGTGGATATACGTAACTTCCAAGCTGGGGAGAGAGGTTATCCTACCGTGATTCTGGAAGTTAGAACCAGAAATATTTGGTGAGTAGTACTAATAACCTCCTGTTTTAGTTATCTGTTGCTGTGTAACAAATTACTCCAAAACCAAGTGGTTTAAAATCATAACCATTTATTTTTCTTACCTGGCAATCTGGGAGTATCTTATCTGGATGGTTCTGGCTCAGAATCTCTCATGAAGTTATGGTTAAAATGTCAGCCAGGGCTGCAGGCATCTGAAGGCTTGACTGAGGCTGGAGGGTCTGGCTCCAAGATGCCACTCACATGGCTACCGACAGGAGGCCTCATTGCTTTACCATGCGGATCTCTCCAATGAGCTGCCTGAGTGTACTCATGACATAGAAGCTGGTTTGTCCCAGAGCTAATGATATGAGAGAGAGAGAAGGAGAACAAGCAGGAAACTGCAGTGCTGTTTATGACCTCACACACATCACCTCTGCTTTATTTTATGCATGAGAAACAAGGCACTAAATCCAGCCTACATTTTAAGCAGAGGGAAATTAAGCTCCACCTCTTGAAGAAACGAGCATCAAAGGATCTGGGGTCATATCTTAAAACCACCACAGCTACACAAGTTCCCCAGGTGACTATCCGGATACTGGGACCAATATGCCGGGCTGCAGGCCCATCTGGTCCTGGTTCAGCCCAGGCTCTTCATTTGTATCCAGGGCCTCTGTATCCGTCCCTGTCCCTCTCCAACTGAGACAGGAGGAGAAGCCCCAGGAGGGTAAGAGGAGGAGAGTGAGCACCTTTCAAATCAGTCTCATGGTAAACAGAGACAAAGAGAGAGAAGGAAGGGAAGCACGTGAGCCTTTGGCGTCTTTAAACCTTCATATTCTGTGGCTCCCTCTGCAAACTGAGGATACCCACTGATATCTGTGTGGGCTGTCAAGAGGTGCATTTGAAAATCTTCCTACCAATAGGAACTTCCTCCCTGGCTGAACACACTTCACCACTGGTGGGTGTGGCCTATTGGAGTCAGGGGTCTCTGCCTGAGCAGACAGAAATGCTCCTTTGTGCAGAAGGTGAGTGAGCAGGTGGGTTCCTCACTACCTAAGTACACACTAAACACACAAGCTTCCCGGGGGATGGGAGTCGATTTTGTGCTACAACAAAATATACCTATCCCTTTGAGTTATGAGTGAAACTTCAGGACTAAGGCTCTACTATCCACCCTGGTACATGTGAGACTCCCAGGAGCAATGTGAAACGATCAGAGCCAGAGACGGAGAGGACAGAGTAAAGGCCCTAAGAGAAAACCCAGCAGGAAGTCGGCGAATTGAGTGAGGGTGGCCAGGCGGGAGATGGGCAAGGCTTGCCTGGCCACAGGCCTGACCCAGAGGCTCTAGTCTGCGATGGGTAGGAAGATTTTCACACACACCCCTTGATGGCCCACACAGACGTCGGTGGGGCATCCTTAATTTGGAGAGGGAGCCGTGAGAATATCAAATGTAGAAAATGACCCCTCCCTGGTTGTTTAGAAAAGCTGTCAGGAAGGCCGGTGGTCTTCTGTTAACCTCCATCTCCTGTATTTCTAGAATGGCTGGAGTGGGTAGGGGAGGTGTTTTGGGTTCTCACCTTTCCTGGAATTCTGGCCTAGTGAGAGCTCCGTGAATGAAGGCTCCCCTCTGGGACCCTCGGGGGGCTGCGTGTAAGTGGGGAGGGCCGGGGCAGTGCCGTCCCAGAGGACAGGCACACAGAGTGCAGTGGGGCCACTGTGGACTGGGGAGGTTTGCTGGCCACGAGGCAGCAGATTTCCTGACATAGCCTTACTATTTACTTTTTGGTCAATAATTAGAAAAAGTATTGGAAAGAGAGAATATCTGGAATGAGGCCTAAAGAAAAGTTCAGGGGACTTACTGGAGCCAGTAGTCTTGTCCTACATGTGATGCTCTATGTGGCTGAGAACTGGGCTGGAGGGTACTGGAGTTGGCCTGACCCCAGGAAAGCCTTGTCTGTCCATGCACATGAGGTGGGAAGCCCCGAGGGACCGAGCTTCCCCGCCAGAGCCACTGCCCCTTGTCCTGGGCAGCAAGGGTGGGAAACAGTTACCCCAGCAATGCCCCAGGGTCTACCAGAGCTTGTTCAGCCTGGGCCAGTTCCCTTCTTGGGGGTAGCTTTTTCCCTTTTCATCTTTTTTTTCCTATCTTTCCTGCTACTAAGTCTTCATGTCCCCCTTTTGCAAACACTTGAGACTTTGCTTTCAATGATGAGACCGAACCCTTGTTGCCCATCAAAAAGTGGTGAATGAACTCCTGGTGGGAGTGATGAATGCTACAACTCATGGGAAATGGTTTGGCAGAATCTACCAAAGCTGCACATCCTCTGTGGTCTGGGAAGTTCACTCTTAGTTATACACCCAAGGAAGAAAGTGCTTTCACCCAGAGGTGTGGACGAGAATGTTCATAGTAGCTTTATTCCTGGGAGTGATAACTGGGAAGCACCCCAATATCCACAAAAGGTAGAACAGATAAATAAATATTCACACACAGGAACACTCACTGCAGTGAAAATGTAAGAGCCCAGCTCTACAGAGCAACACAGATGGACCTCAGCCACGTACCCTTGAGAGAAAGAAGCCTGCCAGCCAGAGTGTATATAACATTCGTAGCTCCAGTTACGGAAAATCCAAAGACAGGCAAAACCCTTCTGGGGGATAGAAATTAGGACGGTGGCTCCCTCAGGTGGGGTCTTGACAGGGAGGGGTCTGAGGGTCTGAGAGCCTTCAGGGGCAGGAAATGTTCTATTTCTTGATATTGGTGGTGGTGACACAGACATGCACATAGGTGAAAAATTCATCAAGATATGCCTTTCAGATGTATGTACTTCACTGTACACGTGTGATAGTTAGAAAGTAAAAGAAAGGTAAAATAAGGGGCAAACAGGTTTTCTGTATGTTCTGGGCTTTTTGGAGATTTTAAGCGATGTTTCCTTAACAATGAAGAATTGACCATTCCATAAAAAAACTGTGTACATGTCACTTTGCCTCCTGGACTTTGGAGTCTTTCCAGGAAGAAATAATTTTAGGGGAAAGTGACACTCTAGTTGTAGAACTTTCTCCCACTGAGGAGGCGATCCCTGCCCCCTCCCCGCCCTGTTGAGGTTTGAGCAGCAGCAAATAGTTTCAACTTTCAGATGTCATCTTCCAAGCAAAGAGTTTTCATTATGGTCTAATTACCTTGGCTATTAGAAACAGGAAACGAATAGCTAAGCTATTGAACTTGGGGAAAAGAAGAGAACAGCTTCCTACCAATACTTTTAAAGCTGCAGAAAGATCACTGCCCAGTCTCCTCAGGGCTATTAGGTATGTTCAAACTTTGCTTAATTATATATTTTACAAGGAAACCAAAGAAAGAACGAATCCAAGACAGTGTCGTTTAAATCTTTCAGATAAATAAAAATAAATATGTGGTTGGAAGCTATAAATAAATACATTTTATATTTTAAAATGCCTAATTACATATTTGCTTAAGGAATTTCAGCACATTGTGGTAAAATTAATGTACATAGTATATTTCCCCCCTGAAAGATATAAATATAA